AATAGCAACTCGCTTATTATGCATTAATAACGGTAATGTCACGCGAAGATCACTTACGTTACGACAAATACGAACGTTAATTTTTAACAACGTTCAACAGTTGGCATCAATTTTATTCGATTCCCATTTTTAGACACTTTCCTTCAAAGAAAGTTGACAGTTTTATACTTGACGTAATATCCTCTCAATTTCCCGAAAATATAAATGATCCTTACGAAACATTCTATTTTTATCGGATGCGTTCACAAGCGAAGGTGTTGAAAATGTGAGAGCTCTTTCAACTCCAGATCGATATTTGTTACAGTCGGGGTTCATGTTACTTTAGCATGTAATAAGACGAATAAACAAATTTTATAAATATCGCGATTTTTGTTTATTCCCTGAACATTTCTAACAAAACGGCGAATAATAATAAATAATAAATTATACGAATCATTCAACGAGGTAAAGATTCCAAATGCTATGGTTGTTTACGTAAATAAATCTCTGGTACAAAATTTCATCGTTAATTAAATGAATTGCAAATAACAATATGCTTGTCTTCGTTATTCGGCACTTTGAGCGTTTTTATTAATTGTTTTTTGTTACAGTAATCACCACCTGGGGGAGGGAGAGTGCCTAGCCACTGTCATATATCGTTATGCTTAAGATTCAAGGGTGAAAAATGTGCGATACTTTCTGTGGCAACCCAGCAGATGTTCCTTTTTCCTTAGCACAGTGCGTATTCTTTTCTTACGAACGATGGGGGTACGAAATTTTTATTTTAATAATAGTTTACACTTTGGAACACATTCTGTCAACGAAAATGTTGTCGTACTCGAGGTCGATTGAGCGTGTAGTCCAATTTAAGAAAATATCGACGATAACATTTGTACATTATACAAAGAATCGTTAAAAAGAGTAAAATCCTCTATGTACTATGGACCGTATGGATCCACGTTAAATACTTTTCATCTACCTTTGTAAACGCTATACGCCCCTATATTTTCTGACGTTTTTCTTCTTCTTTTTTTCCGATCACCCTGTATATGTAGAGCAAAGCCGTCTCCGGAGGAGTTCATTAATACAGAGAACGATTAGAAATTAAAATAGAGAAACAGAAACTAAGGGCTTAATACTCGATAGTTCCGAGCCTTCGAGTTTAGCAATAATAATTATTAACACTCCTTCAGGTGTTTATTAAGGGGGGAAACCACATTAGGTGGTCAAATATTTGTTCTTCCTTTTAACTTTGATAATACTTTAGGCATGTCGTCAAGTACGTTTGGTAATTTTTTCGATTTATTTCGTACAGAAATCACATCAGAAAAGAAATGTTTTGAGAAACACTTAACGTGGTCTTCCCCCTTAAATAACATTGGGCTAGAAGTGGCGAATTTATCCATACGTATTGCAAGGGCCTAGAAAGAATGCCTCTGAATGATATTCAAACAAATTATTTTATTTTTAAAACAGAATCTGTGAAAATACTTGTCTTGAATTGTTCTCGGGCGCATTTCTTCTTTTGTATAGATAGCAAAGTAACGGTTCTTTTAAAAACGTTTTCCTATGAATTTGAATTCCATTCGGAAGCATTCTCTCCAACTACCCAGTGTACAACCCTGTTTGAGCAAATGAACAGCTTGTAAATGAGTGTTATCAAAGCGAAAGATGAAGATTTTGTAGCGGTCGTTCAATAATTCGATTGAACTTGTAAATTTCCGATGCAGAGACATTGTAATCGTGAACGAAAAATATCGATGTATTTCGTAATGCTGAAAAGTCTGTTTAATCGTGCCCAGCTAGGGTTGTATTCGATTATTCTTATCGATAATGAACGGTCCTTAAGTTAAGGCGAGTCTACTTAATCGCCCATGTCGCGAGCGCATGTATAATACATTCTCATTTATCCTAAAATTTGGCACGTGATTCACGTAACACAATTCTTCATTGTGTCTTGACTCGGTAAACGAAAGATTTCTCGTACTCGTTATAGCGGAGTACGCGATACATGTGTAAAGCTATAAAGTTATTGGAATTGTTTACAAAAGGAAGATGGCTACTCGTGATCGCGACCATGTATCGATGCAGCTAGAACGAAATACATATAATAATTCTTATGTTTATTACGTTACGAAAGAACCATCTATGCAGTATTTTTTCCAATGGAAGTCACTGGAAGGAAATATTTCTTTAACTTTGATTGAAAACTATACGATAATTTATATAATGATGTACTAATTTAGAAAAAAAGAAGGTAATGTCTTGAATCGTAATCATGAAAAGTGAAAATTGATAAATATTAAACGAGTTAAATACATAGTCGCGAGCAGTATAGCTATTATAGTAATTCTACCTTAACGATTAAGTATCGCTATGAAAGACCATGATGGCGGTCCTTCGCGAGGTTCGCCCTCCAGGAATCGACCGCTATGTATCGAGTCCTAATTTGTAAGTTTTAGTAATACTGATATAGGTTCGTCGACGTTTATTTCACGCTTACGGTCTCTTTGTAATTATAGTTTTTACAAAAGTGTGGAAAAATCGCGGGTAGGTAAAAATACGGGAAGATTAGGGAAAGACGTGTCGAATTGCTATAGTACTCGATTACTTATTAGTAAAAAGTTATTACGATACGCTTGGAACAAGAAATCCCACCGTTAAGATTCTTAAAAAAAAAAAAAAAAGAGTAACGACTAGAATTTCTTCACTAATCAATTTTTATTCAACCTGGTATGTGTTGAAACGAAGGTCCAATGTCGAAGGCGTTTATTTCGACGCTTGAAATAAATTTGTCAATTTTGTAAAGCACATTTCCTATGTGTTTTTTCGACCTACGTTATCTTAAGAAAATAGCACGAGCAAGTCAGAGTAAAATTAAGTGGCCATTGAGGTGCCCTGTCCACGATAACGTTTGGCTTCATCATCCTCCCTGTTTTCCTTCGTGTATAATAATTAATCCGTGGGATATTTCAGTTTTAAGTTTTCTTGTTTTCTTTTTCTTTTTTTTTTTTTTTTAAATAAAAATCTAAGAGTCTATCGTTGAAATGTATGTGGTGTCTTCGAGCAACCAGTTCATTTTATTCCGACTTGTCGTGCGAAGGACTGCAAGGGTGGGCGTCCGTTTACTCTAAGATTCTTTGTTTCTTGGTATTGAGCCGACGGAGGTACTCACGATTATTATTACTATCGTTACATTGATTCATTTAGAGACCTCCGTATATACGTACACTACTTTTACAGTAATCCTACGAACTAGACGTATTATCGGTGGAAAAATATCGTACTTTGTTGTCGGAATATCATAAATTTGCACGTAATACATTGGACGTTCTATATCCAGCAGCTTAACCTTCCCTCGCGAGTATGAAAATGTTGGTTGAGCGACGGAAACCCTTGACCCTTCTCCTCGCGCGTTTCCGACGGAAAGAAAAATTTCTTCGTTGAAATGTAAGGAAATCCAGAAATGTAGAAATCTGGAGACCAAGACGTTTGGAACTGTGGAAATGTAAAAATGAAGAAACCTAGACATTCAAAGGTCCGAATTATTTGTAAAAATATATCCCCCAAGAAAACCAAGAAGAAGCTTGTAATACTCGAAAAGTTAGATGAGAGAAAACAGAATCTACAAATTTTTCTTCGCACCGGAAACGAAACTAAAATGGCTCCGAGTAGCGAAGCTCATGCTGCTGCTGCTGCTGCTGCTGCTGCTTCTATCTCACAGCTACATCATCTCCCTTCCGAACTGGACATTATATGTGCTGGTGCACCATTCTCGTCATTTTACGTCGCCTAATCACCTAATCTACCTCGTACGTAATTATTCTAGTGCTTATCGTGTCCTTTAACGATACCATTAACGGTTACACGACGAACTGGCCAAAGGTCCCCTATCTTATCCTCGAATCTCAAAAGTTTCTATCTACACAGAGTCACGCAAAAGATGACGTCCGCTCGTAATTTGTACAAAAATTAATTGATTACTTTCCGAACGGGTTTGTTGGGTCCGCGACAAGCGACAAGTCAGTCTGAACAGGGAAACTAACGAGCGATCGAGGCTGTACCCTTTTTAAAACTATAACCAAGTTCATTGTTTACGGGACGCACAACGAACTGCGATAAATTAATCAGTGTGACGTCACAGTGGAAGTACCGGGTGGGGAATCACAGTACGAGTGGGGAATCGTGGCGCGAATGACGTCATAGTGGAAGTATCGAGTAAGAGAGCAGTGAGTGGAAATACGTCATACGCGCATTGGATGTGTCAATTTTCCTCTCCGTCTCCTCCCTCACTCACACTTACTATGACGTCACGTGGCACAAGCTCTGGAGACCCGCGAGGAAGTCCAGCTGCCCATCTCCGTCTTATCGGGTATGAAAGTTATTTAAAAACCTTTTTCATCGTTACGCGACAGTAGGTGTCGTGCATCTTAAATTATATTCCGTTTCCTTAAGAAATGATTCGCGTCGATTAACCAAAATGAAATCACTCTGAAAGTTTCTAACCGTTCTACTTGTTTCGTTGAAAGTAATTAATTTCTGAAAAGAGTACAGCCTTGGTCTCGCTGTGAGTTACAGAACGCGCGTTATCGACGGCCTCTGTAAGACTATTATTGCGATTCGAAAATTAGGTGTCTGATAACGCGTCACTCGTTCCTAAAAACTCCGTTCACAGTTTTGTGCTTTGAAACATGCCGTTGAAAATTGATTGTTCTTAGATCGAATCCGTGGGATTAAAAAACGTGTGCGATTGAGAAGATCCGTAATTGTGCGCGTATAGCGATGAGATACAAACGATTTCCCAAAGACTTTTGCGCTTACTTAACACTGCCGAGTCAAGTGATTTTCCTGAGTGAAGCAAGTACCGCAGTGGAAAACGGCGACGACTGAATGAACGCTCCGAAAGTCATCTTTTGAAACGTGTTTTTGTCGGGGTTCACGAGTGGGATGTTACAGCGAATGCTGATAATCGACTTTGGCTATTTTAGACGCTGAGGTTCCGTCATCTAAAACGTCCGTGTAATGCCTGTGAGTTTCCAATCGTCGACTAACCAAAGTCTTATGCTACCTTAATCGTAGGTTTTCGACCCTTTCGTACCCACGCTGTCAATTTCGGGGAACTTTTTAATCAGCTGCGAGTTTGCATTTTACGAATTAACTTTTATTAATCACAGACGTATTCGTATTTCGTACCGAGTTCGGAACATTAACAGCCCTTTAGGACAAACGTTATAGGATATCTTCCGTGATAATTATCTATGATATACGTCTGTATTGCTTCAGATTTCAATCGATATCATCTTCTTTTTAAATAACAGCTCAACGCTACAATTAAATACATGATCGTGACTTGTTAGACTTGAATCTTTTGACAGCATTAAAAGAAAAAATAAATAATGCATCCAGATGTGGGTACGAAGAGGTCGATTAGTCGATCGAGGATTTTCGCGGGTAAATCGTCTTGAAAAGTGAAACGAAATGGGCCCTCTGCCAGTAAAAACGATCGTAGTCAAACTGTTTGCGGTCGCACGTAAATTTCGAGCACCGATAGACCAATAGCTCTTCGGCTACGAAAACTCTTTGCAAGTCCTTGGACCGTTAATCTCTGCGAATCATTTCCGAATCTGCTCCCATCCAACAACATTAAGTCCCCCAACAAGTAACTTGAAACAATCCTTCCAATTCCCTCTAAATTTGTACACGTTCCTTAACAAGTGCTCTGAAAACTACTAATCCCGATCAATTGCGGAAAATGCCTTCGCGCGCCTTCGTAGGATCTTCCAGTTGCCACTTCGCTAGCACCGCAAACAGGACGACACTCTGTAAACTCTACGGCAACCTTTCCTAACAACAATTCTGATCTCGTTCGAAATCATGAGCATCGTCGCGAGTATATCCTTGGTTGATTACAGATGTCCCATTATTTTTATTTAAAAAATTAGGTAAGCCTAGCACGTGATAAAAAGGTTAGTTATTAAGTAGAATTGTACGATGGTTCAGATCGTAATAAAAATGGGTCGGAGTCGTAACTGATCAGGCGGGCTTCGATTGTCTTTGGTTGGTGGCGGTCCTCGAACGTCCTAGCGTTCTCAAAACCTGCTCACTGCCTCGTCGTCCGTGACGAAGTAGTTGGAATTCTTAACAGCGGAGCTGTACATGTTGTAAGTTGGACTGCAGACGACCAGTCCGCTCGTGCAACCGCTGAGCTCTTTCTCGTTGGTCACGGAACCGTGACGAACGATCGTCGATGTCCTCCTGTCCCTCTTGGCCAGGCTCATACGACAGTCTTCGGGGCGCAAAGGCATGGAGGGGTAGGTCGGCTGCCTGGCCAGGGTCGTTAGGGCTCGGTCTCCCGTGTCGTTGAAGCTGCGCAAACGTTTGAAACAAAAATCGGAGGGAGTGTTCGACAATTCGCAAACCATCGAGGGGTTGTCACAGCTTTGGAATACGGTGGAACTTTGTTTATCCACGCTTCTTTTATTATAAAATCACGTTTAGCCTTATAGAGATATACTATATCCGAGACCCCTGGCAGCCTTATTTGTATATTATAGATACCTGTGATGCCTGACGATGCCTCTCTTGATCCTGCAGTGTTCGTTCCCAGTCTGTCCTTCCAACGCAGTCCCGTGCGTCTTACAGGCCTCCACTCCCATGGGAACGGGGGACAGAGATCCGGGCCCGTAGGAACCGCTGCTCTGTCTTCTATCCAGAATGTGAACGAGCTCCACCGACGGTGTAGGCGAGAAAGTGCCCTAAGAATATTTCCCAGTTACGCATACTATACAGAGACTCGACGGTGTAGGTTCGCTCACCTGTAACGACGGTCTTCGCAGGGTCCCACCCTCCATACCAACCAACTTCACCCCCTTGACGTTCTTCTTCGCTCCTATAGTTGTCAGCATGGTGTCCGGGGTGTTTTGGAACTCCGCGTTGCTCCTCTCCACCATTCCGATCCTGTCTATGTCCCTGGCTTTATCCACGCTCATCGACATCTCGCTGGACCTGGTGTAATGAGGCCCAGGTGTCAGGGGGGTGGTCGCAGTCGAGCTCATGGGAACGACTATGCTGTTGCTCGAGGGGATGATCGGCGTGGTTGGCAGCATCATGGAGCCCCGCAGGTTTCGTACTCCTAGAATTTGACCTCTGGCCATCTCGTTGCTCTGCATGGAGGTGTAGTGAGTGGGGGTGGGGATGGGCCTCATGGTGCCGATGTGCACCGAGTTTCGAAGGGTCTGGAGATGTTGAAGGGTCTGGTTCGGCTTCTGAACGGGAGTCCCCGCGTTGTTGATCCTCTGAGTCTCCTTTTCGTAAGGGTCACCGGCTACGGTACCACCATCCACGCGGTCATTCATGTCCTCGACGGAGTTGGTGGTCGTTCGGTCGTCCTCGTAGCTTCCAGGACCGACGCCGTCGCAGGAGTCCATCCCTGATGTCGATTTCTGTGGAAGGAGCTAGTTTCTTTTTTTTTTTCTTCTTCATCTGCTTTATTTTATATTTTTGTGTATTAATTTGTGTCTTTGAGAAAGTGATTACTGTTAGGCGAAGATACTGATAGCAGAAGAGACACTGGGGGGATTTTTAGTGTTAAAGTAAGATTAAACGATGATTAAATTTTGAATCGAAAAAGGAAAGGTTGAAATGGCTCACGTTAACGGAGGAGGTCTCCATCAAGGCGGCGCCAGAACTGCTCTGCACGACCCCCGACTGATCCTTGGACTTTCCTGGCGAGTAGACGCTGAGGACGTCGCAGCATCTCGGGAAGAAACCCTTTCCTAGGAGATTTCTGGTGAAGAAACTGGTAATGAGCTGCGTGAAGAGAGCTGCCAGCATGGCGCCCGTGCGAAAAGGGAACTTTTGGGTTTGGGTTTCCGTGTCGTAGAAGGGGTACTCTATCAACGCTGGCACGCCTAAGCCCCTTTCTCCTCCTACAAAACAGATATATATCTTTCCTTGTATATTTATCGTAGTGAAATTTATCGAGATATACGTATATTTCCTTTACCGCAAAGGCGCAAGACAACAGCCACAAAGTAACCCGCGAGGCAGCCGTAAGTGTCGACAAGGGAGGGCCAGTGGACCACCGTCAACAATTGCGGGAAGAGCACCACATAGATAAGATCCGAGCATAAGTAGCTAAAAAAACAGCGTCACTTTAATTGGTTCCCCGTTTCATTGTCGCGGACACTCGAAGCTGGTCGAGGAGCTTCTACTCACGACAGATAATAAACGCTTTCCACCGTGAGCGCGATGGCGGTCGACAATCCGATGAACACGATCACAGAGATCCTGAGGATCCAGCCCAGTTCCCTTTCGGTAGCCTGAAACGCAACGACCAGGGAAAAAGGACAAATTTAATTGGTTCCTTTGACGAGTGACCAGTGGACGCTCACCTTTGGTCTCAGGGTGAGCTTGTAGACGTTCCTGGAGAACATCGAACTGCTGGCTAGTATGCCTGAATCTGCTGACGATATTACCGCCGAGGAAATGGCTCCCAGACCTGGTAAACGAGGTTTCGATCTTTGGTAGCCACCGTTTTCAAAAGTTAACACGTTCACTAATTGATTACATTGTTACTATACACGCACTATCTGCGTCTGTAGTGGGCGGTTTATTTTCACGCTGGTTGAACCTCGAAATATTCTCCGAGACCAATTAACTTTACAATTCTCGAGCTTCCTTTACGCTCACTCGACCTGCTTTTTCGAAGAATCTAGATTACAGGCAGCGTAATTCATAGCAGAAGGTGGCAAGGGGGCAGGCGTTTGCGAGAGAACGCGCTAAATGCAATAGTTTCAGTGGAAAGACTCCCTGTCCTCGAGTGTTTCGCATAATTGACCCTCTAATCAGCGAAAAATCTCTAAAATTGACTCGACTCACCCAAAAAAGTGACCCACTGAGGTGTCAGATATCGAAGGACCATTGGCAACGCCGAGTTCCCATCGTTCAGCAGCAAGCTCATGTTGAATCCGTCGATCAATGACCAGTCCGTTGCACGAGCCACCACGCCGATCAACGCCGATGGAAAAGCGATGATCACGCATCCGAACATCGATGCTATCGATATCGTCGTCGCCACTGATGTGCTCTTCATGCTCAGGATTCGTTGGAAGTAGGCCTGGAAATTTCGTATAGCGGTGAGCGTTAGACCCGAGGCAGTTTTTTTTAAATTATTATTTTTGTTATTTCTTTCGTTGCATTATTTTTATTTCCAAGTAACTATACCAGATACTACGGTTTGACAATTTATGTAAGATTGTACTTTTCCTTTTTATTTTAACTACAGAGAACTAGATCGTAGATAGATTGAATATCGATCGTACGATTGTCTATGTTATTCTATAAACTTGTAACTTGTAACTTGTATCGAAGGTAACCATTCGAAATGAGATATTTTCAGGATACCTGCCAAGGTATTCCGCCGAATACCAGCAACAGCATGCCGTCGACCCATTCGCCCAGGTCTTCGTTCCTTATTTCCCCAAGCCACTCGCGGGGCGCTAATAAATTCTTCTCGAAAGAGACGGCTGGGTGCAGAAGGGAAAAGGGCGCAGCCACCCCTAAGCCGATTATGATGGAGCCTAGCTGCAGAGCGTCCGTCCAAGCGACCGAATATAAGCCACCGAACATGGTGTACCTGAAATAGGTGCAAATGAAACGTTGGTAGTTATAGTGTTCGAGTACAGAGCTTGGAGCGCAAATATTTATCCAGGTGGATGGGATCCCGATAATAAAAATAATAATAATGACAATAATTTTTCGAGCAACGACCAATGGAATGCTTTCTTACTTGGAATATTAATCGTTCGAAACAAGTGAACGTTTCAGTTACTCCTGTATCGAAGAAATAGATAGGTACTCACACGCCAGCCAGCAGTGCGGACACACAAACGCTGACGTTCGGATCAACCTCAACGACGACGGCCAATGAGCTACCCAGAGCCCTCAGGAGGGCGGCGCACCAGAACAGATCGCCGCAAAGAGCAGGAAGAAATAGTAAACCGCCGACTCCCGCGCCGTATCTCTCTTGAAACGGGTCCAACATGGTCACGTGCTCGGCCTTCCTCATTGGTCTCACGAACAGCACCGCACCTGTGCGTCCAGGTTTCAATTTGGTACCGAAAGCGCAACCTCTCACCCAAACGACTCTTTAACTGCCACCAAGTCACCATAAGGGGTTGTAATGGATATAGTCAATTTTCCACTTTTCAGTATCTGGCTCGTTCTCCAGTATGAAGGGGGAGAACCACACGAACCCCTTGACCTACACGCTATCTCCCGATTGCTCGAGTCATACTGAACAGGAAGGTAGGAAATCCGAACCAAGTACTACGAGTCAGATTCGTGCTTTTTGTTTACAGATCAAATTCCTTACCACGAGTCTCGCTCGTAGTTGTAAGCCCAAAGGGTTGAATAAATTTTTCTCTGTAAAAGAAAATGTCGAAGGACACTCAAGCAGCCCGATGTGGTTTGCCCCCTTAACGATACTTTCTTCCGACAACATCGTTCCATTTTCCACGAGCCGCATCGATTGCATAACAAAGAGGAAATAATATTCCTCGCGTGTAGGCGTAGGCACGTAGGGGTCGAGGAGTTTTTATTATTCCTGGAGTGTACTAGTTGAGCGTTAGCGCGAAACTTCCCCGCGACTTGACCTAATCCTATTATTCTTGGCTGTCGTCTCCAGACACTACGTCAGCGTCAGCTGCTTCCAGACGCGAGAGCAACGGATCGAGCTCCGATCGATCCACCTTCGATACGGTGGCAGCCTTCGTGGAAAACGTTGCGTGTTTACATGGTCGTTGGAAAAATAAAAAGGGAAGGAGGGCCAGGAGGACGGATAAATTTATCTAACGCACCATGTTTCCTCCGAGCCTTGACGATTTCAACGCGTTCGTGTCATCATCGATCCGTCCTCTTACCTTGACGCTCCTTCAGGTGCGTGGCAGTTAAAGGGTTAAGGTTACACTAGACGCTAATGCGCGTTTGAAAGTCTACCGATGGCCTACCAAACAGCAGACTGAGGCTGTAACCAAAGGGCACTTGACACCAGGCCAATCCTCTTGTGTACATGGCTTCCGCGGTCCCGTTCACGTAGGCGCCCCCTACCCACGTGGCTTTCGCATGAAAAGAAGCATTTTTTTCTCGATTAGTCCTCCGATCAAGCGATGGAATCGCTCTTTCAAGGGAAAATGTTACGGTGGGCGAGATCGGTGATCTGGAAACGCTCCATGAATTAGCGAACAAAGGTCGTGCCGTGTCGTGCTGTGCCATCGATGGGTCGGGCCAGTATTGGGAACAAAACTTTCTTTGTTTTTTTTTTTATTTTCTGGAACGGATCTTCCAGTGTTTTGGGTGACGGGGAAAATACACTATCGCCTATTAATTAATACACCATCGTATTTCTGATTCTGAACAATTTAAATTGTTCTTTTCCTAGAAGGTGAGCCAACATCCACCCTAACCAAGAATCGGTGGCAGGTAAACCTCGGAACGCGAGTCTTCCTATCAGCTCCCCCATTCATCCAAGAGACGAGAAAGAGACGAGACGCTGGAGACGAGCGTCCCTCGGAATAGAGATAATTATGCCTCGTGCAGCGTATTTTCCCCGGTTGCCGCGTTTTCCCGTCAGTGGATGCGTTCATTAAGGTAATGGATGGAAAATGATTTTTACCTGCAGAAATGGGCCACGTTTGAATCGTAAGACGAATCGTTGGACGATGGACGGGCATGTCGGACAGAATGAAAGCGTGCAGCAAGGGAAAAGGAACGGAACGGGACAAAGGGATGGCGAACTATGAATAAACGTCCGATGCGGGGAACGGCCGAGCGAGAAATGCAATTGACGCGACGACAAAGCGGGATTTCCCCGGTGTCCTACTGGCTGGTCCCCGATAAAAATGTCGCGCGTTCCACAGTGAAGGAAGAGGACCGGGAGGGAGAAACGTAGGCCAAAGAGAAGAGACAGGCGTTCGAGCGAATTTTCCTCGTTAAGTTGAAACGTTCCCTGTCGAATTCGACGATCCCTGGGTCCCACGATTCCCGTAATTGCGAGACTCTCGGATTTTTGTAAGAGCAGGGAACGGATTCGATTGCGCGACCTGGGAATTGAGCACTTGGTCTCCCTTTATTTATTTTTTAATCGAGTGTTTATTCGAAACGAACACGATTCCTTCCGTGAGAGAAAGAAGAGGAATGTGAATGTAATAGGAGGCTTCTCGGAGCCTTGTGTGCCTTTCATATTTTTTATCACTGCACTCTTCTACGTAAGGATAGAATCTTTTCGCGTCTGTTTTTCTCTTCCAGATACCTGACCATCCAAACATTCATGAGATATGCGTGCCAGACTGTGGCGCGTCTGACGCGTCTGTCCATTACTAGCTGTTTCCACTTATTTCAGTACTCGCAACAGTTTCAACCAGATTTGAGGCTATTGCTTCCGACTAACATTTAGATACTAAATAAACCTCGTGAAACTACATATACTATGTAAAATCAACGTTTAGGTGCTCCAGCACAAGTAGAAATGCCTGGTTATGGTCAGACACGTACTTGAGCGTTTAGACAATTTTAATTGGAGAAGCATTATTCTTACAGAATTTAATTGAAAATTTTAAACTTATCGTTTCATTTAGACAGAGTTCTTCGATAAACGTAGAGGGACGAATTCTTATTGGACCGAGTGTGTATAATATAGCCCCTATAATAAAGAAAAGGTAACAGACGGAATGGTTTAGAAATTACAGCTCCATCTGGATAGATAAGTTCGTAATTGGCAATGTCACGCTTGTTAAACGAGTACCTAATCAGATTCGCAAACCTCACTCCGCTAATCCCCTCCAGATAGAACCGCAATTAGGAAAGTTGTTATTCCACTAGGATCCACCGAATTTCCGAAATTCTAATCTCATAATCTCGCCAAGGAATATTTGCCTCGAATTGAATTCCTCTTCGCGTAGATTAGTAGACTCGCAGTTTCCGAAAGAATAAACGCCGGGAACCGCGTTCTGATAATCCTAACTAGGTAGGGGTTCGATGTAACGTAGGTTAAATTTGGAACGAGTGGAATATCCGAGACGCCTATGAATTTGTAATAGATTTCATCGATTTATCTCCTTTTATAGTACCTTCCCAAATGTTACAACCAATCGTAATTTATTCAAAGATACATTCAAGCAGAATAAAGAGGACATGACTTTCCAATTTTCCTACCGCGATCGTCTCAACTTATTGTCTCAAATTACGTTGTTACAAATTATTGATGGATTTGCTACGTCGCATGGTTTTGTAGCTAGTGTTTAGCATTTTTAATGAAAAGAGGAAAATGCTCCATTGAAGGACGAAAAAAGGTGTTCGTTTGCTTACCAATTAGAGTGAGAAGACCAAGAAGCGGGCCGAGGCCACGATTCGCCAGCATCATGGCATCCTGGCCTTGTTGAGATTTTTTCTCCTTGACGACGGCAGCCCAAATGCCGACACCCAGCACAGCCACGTAGAACACGCCGACCACTCCCAACACGTACACCCCCATCGTTGCTTTACTTTTCTCCTCTCTTGGGACAACCTTGTGCTCCCCTGTAACCGAATTTCTCTCCAACATTAACCATTATCATCCATTTTGCCTATCTACACGCTTGTAATTGCCGTCTACAAAGGGAACCTAACGTCGAACTAACGTCACATAGTTGGGGATGCTTTGACAAAATTAATATTGTGTTTCAATTCCTAAAATTTTGTTTACGTCGCAAATAATAATTATTATGATGCAGATCTACGATTCAATCTTGCCTAGAGAAGCTTGGATAATTTTTTAAATAGGAGATTTGAATTTGACGAAAAGTTAATCGCGGTTTTATAGGAAAGCTCTAAAAGATTGCCAAGCGTTCGATTAAGGAGACTCGTTAATTAGCAGGGAGGGGAAAGATAGTCGTTAATTGCATGCGTGTTTCGATTCGTGCAAAGCTTGGGGAGCGAGCATCTCTCACAAAGACCCATTCAACCGTGGAATCTGTTCGACACTAATTTTCCGGCGCTCGTAATCAGTATCGACAGAACAATCCTGACACACCGATTGTCCTCCCTTTCATCCCTCTTGTAGCGCACGAGTGACGATTCGTTCTTGGTAATTTATCGACGCGTTGGGAATTTCACACTTTTGATGATTGTCAATCTTGGAAGTTTATCTTAGGAAGTCACAGAATTAATCTCTACACTTAATATAGATCTGTATCGATCTCTGGATCAAATCAATCGAGTCAAAAAGATGTATTCCAGTAGCCTTTGACGTTCATTAAAAACCTCCAGCTTGGATTCTTTATTCTACCACGGTAACTTGAGTTTTCCTCGTTGATAAGCAAAGATAAATGCAAAGCGGTGAATGGAAGTTTAACTTCCTGTGATTTTACTTTGCCCAGACTTCCGGGTGTATAGATTGCTTCGAGAGGGTTGGCAATCAATAGCCCGAGAGTCGAAGAAAATATAAGAACTCTAGATTACGTCGACAAAACGTCCCCTCGAAGATGGAAGATCGAAGTAAATGAAATTATTGGTATCGTCCGCTAAAGACTATTTTATTCGACTCTGGGTCCTTTCATTGAAGAATACAATGTCAGTTGTATCATTAATCATTAAAATGCGAGACGAGCAGGTGTTGAAATGAACCACGAGAGAAACAACTTCTTGCGTGGTTCTTGTTTGTATAAATTAATTTAACCCCCTTTCTTTTTAGATTCATCGAGGTCTGCATTCCAAGAGTCTTTTAAATCCTGGCTCTCGCATTGTAAGGATCCTTTTGTTAGGACTTGAATTACTAGGTTTTTCTTATTAGTAACGCTACGATAAATAAGTTCAGGGTACACAGAATCTATTGTATCAGGACTATAATGACGATTAACTCCTGACTCTTGCATTGGACGGACTTTTTTATTAGGATTTGTTCAGGGTATCAACCCCTGGATGCACAGAGTCCATCTTATCAGGTTCACAGCGACGTTTAACTCCAGTTTCTTGCATTCTATGAAATTCTGTTCCTAAATCTGTCTTAGTAAATCCATTTTGTAGAAACTGCAAAGGACGTGAGAAGGTATTCTAAAATGTCCCGTTAATGGGATGCCGGTGTCTCTCTTAGGTATTGATCGTACGCGAGTGATATCCAATAAAATTCGCAACAGTACCGTTATCGTTTTCAGTTGGAGGCGTCGACGTCGGCGTCACGTCGCGTCGCGACGTGCAAGCAAGCAGAGGCTGGCACGTAGCAAAAGTTAAAGCTCGGCAAACTCGTCGGACAAACGTTGGAAGAGAGCTAATCGACCGCGGCGGCAATTGCAGCGTGGATTAAAATTCAAGTGTGGCCCAGATATCGGACACGTTGGGTCGCGTCGGGTCATGACCTCGCGTAAAGTACTCACGTAAAGTTCAGCCGATCCTCCGCGCTCCTCTCGCACGGCATTATTAATTCGTATCGAGGCCGCTCTTTTTCTTTCGGCTATCTGAAAATTTGCGGGGAAACAAACAGAAATGAGAGAAAGCATTCGTCGACGCGCGTCTAAACGCTACTCGATTTAGACCAATTTCGACAGACCCCCCAACCCCCTGTCAATTATTAAGACAATCGTCCATTTGTTTAAAATTGACGTTTCACTTTAAAGAAAAACTTTTTACATGTTTTTCGTAGGGTTCGTTAAGATCTAGAAGGTAGAAAAGTTTCAATCTACGATGTTCGTTATTATAGAAAATCCACTCTGACTAAATCCTCGTGAACTTTATTTCTGTAAGAATTCAAATTTTTTCACTTCTCTTGCGAATTGTTCTATGACCTTTCGATCCCTAGTAATTGTACAGTATCAACACTGAAGCTTTCGGAGCTTTAAGGGTTCATCGGGAATAGATTAGCAGTACGGAGTAATAACCAGCGCCACGTTTGCATTTCCTCGATAATGGTTTCTCCCATTAACGAAGAAAAATTAGTTGCCGATCAAATACCGATTAAATTGGATCTGATTCAATTTCAGCGAGCATTAACGTTTCTTCTTTTTGCTAGACTCTCCTGCGCGCTCGTCCTCTTCGTCCTCTTCCACCTACCAATTAAAACGAGCACATCCGGTATTTACATATACTACCCAATCAGAAACATCGCATTAGAGCTCTCCAAATACCTAAAACCAGCAATCAATAAATTTACGTCCGACGGGGGCGCGCACGCACGCGCTTTATTCGTGGTTGGAAGGAAAATAAAAATAAAAAACAAAAAGGAAATCCAACCGATGCAGTTGGCCTAGGTAGCGATGGAACCGAAGAGTTTTCAAATACTGTCACAGGTCGAATTACGTTCCATAAAATATATTTTGTTCCAGTGGAAATGAATTCAAAAACAATCACGATTTACTTTAGAGATACAAAAGAGGGAAGGTTCGCGTTGGAATCTTTGCTATCTTTCATCTATTTCTCAATGATTCTCCTCGGAAAAATGAATGGAAAATTCATGCTGCTCTTTGAAATCCAAAGCTTCGTTATCAAGATACAAGCAGTCAAAGCTCCGAATGCGCAGCTGAGCGATCAGCTGACCCAAAGTATAAACAGCGCGCGCCGAGAGTCCCATCAGCAAACTTGTTCCGCTTCTATCTAGATAACTAAGCTTTGGATTGCAAAATGATGCAAGACTTTTCGCTTCCTTTTGCTACGGTGAATCGATCTTGATAATAATGAAATAAACTGTGCCTCTATCTTCCCTATTACAGCCCTTATTACGACTTCAAATAAACCTATTAAAAAATTTGCTGTTCCACAGAAAACTGTCTACCTTCCACGCAAGTTCTCCAATACCTGCCTCGACCATTGGTCCCATCACTGGTCTACAAAGGGTGTCGTTCGTTACTTGAACGTATCCCTTACTAATTACGTGTAACGAAAGAAATTAACGAGCGGGAACAGCTTTGACGAATAAATGGCCGCGCGGAGCGGGCTCGTTACGGAATGTTTTTTTTTTTCTTTCTTTTTTTGGGGGAGAAAAACACGAGTGAATCGGGGCTGGCTGCGGATGAAAAGCGTTTCAGAGTCTGCGTAACCTGCTCTGAAGAGATCGAGCAGAATGAAGAAACGAGACGTCCGCGTCCAAGGAAACGAGTGGGTTTTAAACGGCCACGGACGAGGGACGAGGGACGGGGGAATAAGTTTAAGGACTCGTCGTAGTTTTTCACTGGGAAATTCGCTGCTCGATTACGTTAGCATTCCCAGGAACGAGATATCCGCGATTGCGGATGTCGTTCATCCCCCTACTCCCCCCGAAGTGACGAGAATAAAGGCGAAGAAGAGGGAAGAGGGTAAATCAAGAGAGGGATTGTTTATGGCACCGTGGCACAGAATGCTCCTTTTAGCCTTGGATCGCGAAATGGGCGAGCTTTGGTAATCGAGTCACTTTAAACAACAGCCTCGAGATAAAGGATAAGGGGCTGGAGGAGTGATCATTTTCTAGACGGTGGTTTTCGATGGTATCGGAACTGGATTATTCCTCTGCGGCTGGATTCGAGAGGCTTTCGTACGCTTTCTACTCGTTTCTACGATTTGATCACTCAGTTTTGCTGTCTAAACAATTCAAATAGCTGTACAATTATAGAGGTACGATTAATTGATAAACTAAAATAGATATTAGGGTTTGATGGTTATTTTATGTATCATTCGCTTGTTTTTGTTTTTTTATTTTAGAAATTAATCTTGTACGAAGGACAAAAGGTCCCAGGAACAAACGAAGGTCACTATAGGGAGCTAAGATTGTATTTCCTGCTGCACGTTTCCCTTTATTGGAAACATTCACGGAGCACGGTCATTGGTCGGAGTCCTTGGAGGTTTGCATTTCACATACATTTGAATTTGAAATGCTCCGTTTAATTTAAAACACAGAACCAATTAGAAAGTCTGATTTTATTCCATTCAACGACCTCTCGCGATCGTTCGAGATGCACCCGAAGCTCGAAAGAGTTTATACTCGACCACCACGTTCGCCTGTTGAAAATTTTTCTAATCTTCCCTTCGACCAAAGTCCTGACTAGGCGTTGTCGTTCGATTATTTTCTCCACCCTCTGTTTTCAACCACCGTAAGAGGACACGACCCGCCCCAAAACGCGTGACTCATCCTGCGTAATTTCGTTCATCTACCCGTAACGCATTCCGCAGCCAGCGTGCGTTGCAATGACAGAAACTGCGTGTGGACGATACGGAAGTCATCAGGCCTGACCACTTTCCAAATAATAGAAATTCGGAATGCCGAGTAAGACGGCATTGTTGCATTATTACAAGGCACGTAAATATGCTCGGACATCGAGTTCTCTATAAAGAATTATTATATGTTAAATCATTTCGTGGTGTAGCTTTGAAGATAATGTATACGAAGCACTCTTGGATACAATCGAACTCTTTAATGGACAAAGAAGAAAAGAAGGGAATCGCGAAGGGATCACAAATGTACAGCGTCCAACGTGTTCTCATTTAACGCAGAAAAACATCAACAACCACCTCCTTCTATTAGACAATTCGATTGCAATCGCATCTCTATCGGAATACACTCGTACAAAAATACCACGATTCTTTGTTAACAAACATCGCGCACAGCAGTATACCTCCTTTCCGAACGAAATTCACCAGAGAAATCAGCCTTAGAAACCCACTAATTAAACACGAACCAAACGTAATCATCAGTCCGAGTGAACCCGTGCAAAATGGACTCAGTTTCACCATAAAAACTAGGAACTCGAAACAGTCGAAATAGAAAAACTTGGATAGCAAAGATTGGAAACCACCAAAGTTCCAAGCCGCAAGGATAGAAAGGTTCTTCACCTTTCTCGTTCCTTGGAGGCTCGTGCACCGTTATTTTCCATCGCCATCATTCCCAAAACAAACGAATCCTTTCCGTGGTCGTCGAGGACTCGAGGATAGAGTCTAGCAGGACCTCCGCGGAGTTTCTCAAATTTCTTTCGACCCCGAACGGGAGAAAGAAACGTAACGATGGCGACTTACCCCGGAACACGCCTCTCACGGGAGTATTCCCATAGCCTAGCTTCGATTTCCGCGAAGGGACCTCGAGAACGAGATCTTGGGAGGACTTCTAGGTTGCCTGGCCCTCTTTTCCCGAACCAGGAACACGGGACGGGGTATCGCCGGCACAATGGAGTCGCGGCGATGAGAGAAGAAAATCGACGACACGCGGAGAGGCTTTTAACGACGACCGTGCGCGAACAGACGACGACAGGAGGGAGCCAGGCGTACGACTGAATCTATTTCAGACTCAGCATCCCGTACGGCTGACACGATCTGCGCGCTGGACCGCCACCTTGCCAGGGGGTCGTGCCGCAGAGGGAGAGAGATAAAGATAGAAGCTGCCGAAGGGAGGTGAGCTTGGAGAGGAGCGAGGGTGAGCGACGAATCGCGGTAGAGACAAATGGGAAAAATTATGGAACCCTACGACCAAGGAAAAATAAACGAAAATGCTCTAAACGCGTTTGAATTAAACGGACAGCTTAACCGAATCATGATCAATTCATTGCAATGAATAAATTGCACGATCGCCGGTTTCTCAGGGAGCTGAGATTTGCTCTTCGTGGACCGTTCTACATATTAATACTAAATACCTTTTTTTATTTCAGCGAATAGCAGCTTGTTCTTTATTTCTGTGCAATTTTTATCTGGGCTGGCAGAATCCATTCACCTTGAAAGAAACGAACTTTTCCCAAACTCTATCACCCCTATGCCGGATCAACAAATATATTTTATCTCCGTAGCGTCTCGTTCCCTACACCTTGAAACCTCCTCTCCAAGAAATCTCCTCTCTTCTAGCAACCCCTGCAGTCGCATTTGAAATTTCTCGTTCAGAGAATAAAGCGTAGGTAGAAGCATCGTCTGTAAAATGAAACGCGATAAAGGTCGTGGAATACCGCGCAAAGGAATGGAGATACAACGTGGAAAACGGTGGAACGGACGTTGGATAATCCTGAAGCAAAGGGAGGAGAGAATGGAGGACGTCGAGCCACGAATGCGAGGCTGGAGGACGCGGTTGAAACGAGGATAGGATATCATACAGAAGGGAAAGCTAGAGGCAACACGAATTAAGAGAGGCAGGTAGAACTGCAAACACAGAGAGCCACGACAAAGGGAAAGATCAAGGGAAGTTGCGACAGAGGAGAGCCGCGTTTAAACAGAGAAGAAGCTACGAACACGAAACTGAACTACGACAGGGGACAGTGGTGTATACGCCGAGGGAGCAACCTCCTTGACAATCGCGTATTCTATCAATTTGATACGCCACGTATCCGTAGATGCTCTCACCATCGACGATCTTAGCGTCAAGTATCTGTCTGACCATAGCTAGATACCTCTACTTGCGTTCGAGTCCCTATTGATACAGAAGGTACTGGGATAAGTAGAAAGAGCGAGTCATGGACGGACCAGACAATATAAGGGCCAGACAAATACGTACATATTTATATTCTCTGCTTTTAAAAATGTGTAACCTCTCGAAGGACGAATATTTAATTTTTTTTTGCTCTATCATTTTTTATCCGCCACACTTTGATACAGTATATTTGTTTCGTTCTAAAAGGTATCACGGTTGCACCCTCCTGCGTAAATTTCAGGGTGCGCCACTGACGGAAGGTCTAGGCGCGAGAACGGAACGGAGACGGAGCATTGTGTGTGCAGAAAGAAGCAGGGTGATCGCGGGTTGAACCAGAATAGAGAAACCACGCGCAGAAACAGGAAGAGGAACTACGAATGTCGGGGATAAAACGATAGTCGAATGTCTAGGGAGATGGAGAGCGCTGGAAACAAAGCTGGAGTAGAATCTCTACCGAGACCGAAGGTAAAACGGAGATGGGGAAAAAATCAGACTTTCCTGAACGTAATTTCATACGTTTCTTTCGCGATTTTTTTACAGGACCGTTGATCAATAATGGTATATTGAATTCAAAGGAACATTTTAACGTGCATAAATTATTATACATATGTATATACATACACTTGTTTGTAAAGTATCCTAATACAACCACGGTAGACACATGTCGATAATAGAATGAAATGAAAGATCAAAAGTGTACGTAACAGATAGTGACCTTACACTAGGGTTAATTTTAATGTAAATTGTACGAAAATCGAAATCACGCTATTTAGGTCTCGTAGCTCACATTTGTGTTCTCGAGCTTGATTAAATAGCTCGTGTCTTTGATTATGCGTAATTTCGGGGTTAAGTGCAACCCTTCAGCCGCAGGTGGCCTCTCTTGCGCATGTATCAGCATGAATTTGGTATCTATGTTCTCCGTGTACTTTTACATAGCGAAACAGAAATGATTATATGTATAGTAGAATGCCTCCAAACGATACTGATACACTTTCTCTTTAAATTTAATTTCTCTTCTCACTTGAAATTTCAATACAAAATTTGCCTGTCTTGCGCATGAATCGCCATAAATTCATCACATTTCTTCTCTATGTGCCTTTACATAGAAAAACACAAATAATAATACAATGGCATAATATAATTTCTCTTTAGTGTATCACTAAGTACTGAAAACAAAGGTCGTAGCATCAAAAGGACTCGTCCTTGATGGCAGTTGACTGTTATCAACGAACAAGCAACATTTATTCAGCTTTATTATTTAATTTCAGGAGAGCTGTTGACGCTGAAGCGAAGCAAGATGGAGATAAAAGTAGGAGCACGATGGAGGAAGCGGCAGAGACGGTCCAGGGGAAGGGAAAAAGAGACACTAGGCTAGGGGAGCACAGGGAGAGGGTGAAAGAGGGACCAGAAACGCGGAGAAAGATAAAAGGAAGACCGGGGGAGGTTACGATGCAAATAGGGAAGGGTCGTACGTCGCGATAGAGAAAAAGGGTGCAAAGGGACGCGAGCACGCGTCGACAAACACGCGCAAGGATGAAAGTAGCCAGACTGTATAGGTTTCAACGGACTTTAGAGCCCTGCTCTAATCCTTTTCAAGAATTTCGACTGGTCAGGGACACTTTTCCGCCAACTAAGACCCGTCTTATTTCGCCTTTAATTTAAACGAAAAGTACGAAATAACTGCTGATAATTTTTTTTTTTTTTTTTTTTGAAAATAAAAATAGTGTCGATTAATAGAATAAAATTCAACGAATTATTTTGTCATTTTATAGTGGCCAACAATTGATATTATTAAAGAGAACAGACACGAATTATGTTTATCCATTCAAGCGCGATTGTGTTGACAGACACAAACACACATGTATCAACGCTACCACGCAAACTGACTGCGAACCAACGAATAACAGCGTCTACCTAGGTAACGATTTATCGCAAGAAGAGTCGATACGACAACGGCAAGAGACAACGATAAACGAACTTCTGGGGACGATTGTTTCGGCGTGCTAGACACCTATCACCCGATTATGAGATAATACGTTCCGAACGTTCTAGAACACCCCCAGCCACTTTTGGATTAACGCCAGGAAAGTTCCCTGAGGGAACACACACAAACGAACAGCTGTCGAAGCGTTCGACGTACCCCTCCACTGCACCCCTCCATCCCCCACCATTGAAATTGATCTCCATCAGTCACTTAGATCTCTGTGACGTCAGGTGGCCCAGGTGCCTCGTATCTCATACATTAAAGTCTACGGAGTCTTACAGGGAGACTTTTTAATTGCAGAATCTATTTGCTGAAATCTATTAATTGTATTGTAATCTATTAATTTGCACTACTTTGAAATAGTATAGTATCTACACTACTATGTCCATTACGGTCGTGAAGCTAATCAAAGAACCTAAACCTCGGACGTGACCTGTGCGTGGGTCACCGACGAAGACGGTGCCGTTGACGCCACAGTAGGGGATGGAGGGGGTCGAAGACGACGAAGAAAGACAACTCGCGGCCAAGAAGCATCTCCGCCGGAAGACGGGGGCATGTGTACATATATACCTTGGCCAAGAGGGCTGAAGGGACGGAGACGCGAGCAAAGATCCGCTCAGCCCAGAAACGGAGCCTTGGCAGAGTGTTGGCGCAAGAGTAGAGGGCACGAGAGTAAGAAAGCGAGGTGAGGAATTAAGCGGCGCGTTAGCGACGAACGGCTGGACGAGGATAGCCAGAGATGGCACAATTTTATTTTTATATGCTAAAGCAATGAATGGTACACGAGAGATATTATTAAAAGCCCTTGTCCAGCATTCGAAAAACTTTAATCCAAACAAAAATTTCCTTGGACTCTGAAGGAACGAGATTAGAAAGCTAGAAAAAGAGAGAAGAAAGAGAGGAGAAGGGGACCGGACGCCGACGGAGAGGAAGGAGTTGGCAAGAGGGTTGAGAACAGAGGACGCGGGGGTTAGACGTGAGATTTTTTAGAGAAAGAGACGCGAAGATTCGTGAAACGGACGAGGACGGGGGTTGGCAGCTAGAGCTTGGCGAAAATAGAGAGGGGGCACAGCCACGTGCGGGGGCAGTATTGATCTGTTCGCGCAAACTCGTGACTCCTGGGTACGCTCCACAGCCAGAACAACCCCTACCACCCTTTCCACTTCCGTCCCCGCACTGTCGGCCGTATTCGCAACCTTCCAAATACCCGTCGACGCCGAAAGTGCTCCACCGAGTTCGACTGTGACCCCTGGTCATCGTCCTCCGCGATCCTACGCGAGCCCCCATACCCCACCCCCCTTTATTCCCGTAACACGAAGATACCGAGGATAAAATTGTAACGGATGAAAATATTGGGTCTGGAAATGAATTTTGTGCCATTCTAAGCTAAACTCACCATTCGTTGCGTTTAAACAGAAAAATTATACGAGTTTTTGTCTTGCCATACATTCCAAAAGAGCGTGTATAACTGTGAAATGTCGATGCAATTTGCACGATTCGTTACCGTGAAGATTATCTAGAGTTGTATATAATTAAATGTAAAAGCACAGAGTTCATTTCTACGCCTGGTGTACAATGTTCCATTTATATAAATTAATTTCCTTTTTAAATCTCTCCCATCGCTTCACTTACGTGCAGATTATGTGCAGCCATCTTTATACCTTAGAACAACTTGCTCTTTTTTTTTTTTTTTCATTTGATAAGGAAAAGTCAAAATTAACGTTCATACCAGCATTGGCTATCGTCGGATCGAGTATCGATCACGATCCACGAATGGTAATTTTTTAACCAGCCGTAATTGGTGGCACGTCGACTATCGTTTGTTTGAAAGTTAACGAGCCTTTTTTCATTTTGAACCGCAGACTTCAGCTCGATGCCGAGGACCAATTATATGCCGATGGGAGATCGAATAGGAACGAGTGCTCGAGAGAGATCCACGGAAAATGTTGCACCGAGAGAGGATCGGGGGTGGTGGGGGAGGAGGAGGAGGAGGGGGGGGGGGAGGGAATGGTAGAGAGGAACTGACATCGTGGATCGAGAATGAAGTGGTACCGCCGAGTTACTCAAGGGTGCACTTTTCCTACAAAGTTTGATTCGATCAGCGTTTGATTTTTCGATATTAAACTTGATTATTAGTTCGCAATGTTCATTTTTCAGAATGTTTCTCAATCTTCATCTCCTCTGGACCACAACAAACACGATCTTCTCGCTGATTTAACAGTGTATATCCATTATTATATGAATCGCGAAATATTATTTAAATATTAATCGAAAAAGGATTCTAATAGAGAAGGTAGAGATTGAATTAATAGCTGATTATTCCTGCTATTAAATATCTTTATCACCGATACTTTGATTAAAAATACAATTTTCTACTCCAGGCAATCACAGTTTGGCAAGCAATTTAACTAAATTGATAAATGAGAATCAAAATAAGGACTTAGAACACTAATGCGTTGTAACAAAAGTAAAAATAGTGCATTTATTAACATTATTAATAATACTTATCACAATGATAGGGTCACCACAATGGCGGGAGATCGACACGAGCGAACGTTTAAACCGACAATTTTTGTTATCAATGTTATCGTATCTCCACGATAAACTCAAGATTGGATAAAAATTTGCTGGAAATCGCGCGAAATCTCTCGAATTCAAGCGCGCGTTTCCGTCGTTAGTCCGTTTGAATTCATTTGCACGATCTTCTCTAATTCGTAACTCGAAACTTTAACCGTGAATATTCCGAACCAAGTACACTCTGAATTTTCCGCGTGGAAAACTACAGAACTTACGGACAAGTGGAGCACGTGGCGTTTAGTTGCTGCTTCGGTTCTGCCTGCTGATCTCTCGTTAGATGTAAAATAAATTATAAAATGAATTATTATTTATCAGAACTATCGCAGCGACTTAACGCGAATATGTACCGTTATACGATCTAAAAGCTATTCGGAGTTGAGAGTCTCAGGAATGGTGTTTAAAGAAAATGTCCCTGGTCAGGGTGGAAGTCAACGAAGGCATCTGCTTCTGGTTATTCTGAGCTGGAATACTGTGAGTGGACGAGCATTCGTTGGCCACTGTACGCGCGGTTATTGTCAACATTTTCAGCAGGTCTGTATCCTCCCAATGGGCCTCTATTACTTTGCACAGATGCTGTATGTACCATGTCCCATACTCTGTATCTCGCCACGAAAAGAAACCTGTAAAAGACAACCATTGACTGAATTTAATTACGCATCTTTTGGTAAAGTGTTAATTTCCATCTCTGCACAGTGTAATATATGTTGATTTTCTATCGAATTGTAATTATTTACCTTCCACCGTACTGTGAGCGAACAGAAAATCTGCATGGGTGGGGATCTTGTAAGGTACCGTAACAACAGAGTCTGTTTCCGATCTGCCAGGTCCTGCGTACACCATCGCACCACTGTCCCTTTCCGAGCCCCTGCAAGCCTGCGAGTAATCAAACAAATCTTTTCAATGATCGATCATATTCGAGAGAACTGAAGAACAGTTCCGATTCGAAGCCATCTTGGTCGCATAAAATGGAGAATTTTGTAAACCATTTGGAATGTTCGACAATCGACCTTGAAATATAGAGTTTCAAATTTGTATTCACCTGGATGAAGAAGAGCTTTGGTTTTCCAGCCAGCGTCGGACATTTATCAGCGGTGAACGGCGTCCAGACGTTGACCAACGGAAACGGATAGTCCTTGGCGTATATCAAACCGTTTCGATTGCCGTGCGTCAATATGAACACGCAAATGCAATCCCTGTCGCTGTGGTCATCCTTGCTTACTGCGTAAAAAGAGGAACAGTGTGCTACAAATGCATAAAAATTCACAGTCTACTAATTAAAAAGGAATAAACACGGTATGTACGCTCGCTTATCTTGTCGTAGATCTTTTCCAGAGTGTAATTTGAATGTTCCTCCACTTCGAAGCCCAGCTTGCTGAAGGTTTTCCTTATCACCTCCACGTCGGCACCAGATCCTTGGCGCGATTTCAGTCCAGGAGATTCGAAGGTATCGTGATTCAGTATCACGCATTTTCCTCGCTCGTTGTGGTTCATCTTGTAGCGGATATCATTCTTGCGAACCGGTAACTTGACGATAATCGGTGGCTGATTGCTGTGCGAAATAAAATCATTCCTTTCGTTTCATTCGATTACATTTTGTTCCTTTCAATGCTTCGTTACTGTTTAACGTTATATTTTACAACGGACCAATAACAAAACGAATGATAATCTCACCTTGCGACGTACTCGTCTTCGTCTTCATCTTCGTAAGCACCATGAGTTATAACAACATCAGTCTCATGCTCGCGGATTGGGCTGGATACCTGGTCCAGGGAACGCTGGAAATCAAGGATTTTGCTCAAAAAATATTCGATTTAACTCCAAGATTATTTAAACACAGGTAGGTCATACTCGATCGAGAACTCGTCGAGTGTTAATTTAACAAATCCGAAAATGACCTGAGAAAAAATCAAACATTGCTAGTAGGACAACCACAACGATACAGGTATAGACTGGAATTAGAAAGTCTATAAATAGGCTTCCTACAGACGCAGGGTTAATAGCGATCCAAGGATCCTCCTTATGTCTCCTTCAGATCTTCGAGGCTTTCGTTTCGCTTCCGAAATCGATCATTGAAATTATATTCTAATTACGTATATTTCAAGTGTCTTTCGGCAACTTTCTAAAGATATTTTTCTAACGCAAGAAAGTAGCGTTCGCTGTTATCTTTACTCTGTGATTCACCGGCATTCCCTTATCTCGAGCTGCTTTGTTTAATCGCAATGTGCTTCCTGTTTTTCCCCCCTTTTCTTTCGTCAAGGTTCCACAAGCATCGTCACTGAACCTTGGCCGATAACGTGCAAGAAAACTCGAACGAAGCGGCTGCGGGGGGCCTAGGTGTTAGATCTGGAAGCTTCGGGTCGCGATAAGGAAAAATTAGATCAAACAAGAACAAAGGACGCTCTTTTCAACTACTGCCGATGATTGCGACACCATGGACGAACTCGAAGCGAGCAGAAAATCAATACTAATAATAAGAAGAAAATTTGATTTCATTTTCTCGAAGCAAGTTTTTGCTGAGCTTTGACAGCAAGTAATTGCGTGAATAGTTATTATCGACGTTTTCATTGTTTACATTTTTTCCAAATTTCGTTTCATAATTACTCGAACACTACCAACGCTCTGAAATTTCAATTCATAGTAGTAATTGAAAAAAGGGAACTATATATATATGTTTGCATTGTATATTCTTTATTCGTAAAACGGAAAACGAGAGTGAGGTTCCTCCCTTAGCCCAGAGACTTCACTCTCGTTTTAATGAGCATTGTATATTTTTTTCAAAGAGAAAATCCTCTTTCTATCACACGCAACAAAAGGAAACGTCACACTTTACCTGACTGTCCACGGTATCCACTGAAATGTCCATGTTTCGGAAAAACCGCTTCGAAACGTACACTATAGTGGTTCTGGTTAAAGTAAGTATACAGAGCAGAAAACCGAGCATCGTTTATGCGATCACACGCGGGATTACTGGCTGATACCGATAACTCAATGTGAACTAAAGAAACGAGGAACACACACCGGTTTTATCAGTCACTATCACGAGTCCGATTTTTATCAAAAGCGTTGCCTAGGAAGCGACTTCCTACTTGTGGTCAGTTGGGAAATGTTTTGCATTTACACCTGTATGTGCACCCAGAACAAAATGAAACTTGAAAACAATGAAAACGGTACCTACATTTAGCTTAATTTGATACTTGAATTGATAATAGTAGACGATACGTTGGCAAAGACATTATTTATTCTTTTCTTTTCTTTTTTAACTGGCATGTCTGTTAAACATTAAATACGTTCAGGATTCTGTTTATTTTTGTTGTTCGAATTCTTTGCTAGATTGAATAGAATGTAGCATAGTTGAATACGTAAACATGTTGGAAGGAATTATTTTTATTAACTACATAACTATTATAAATAAAATATTTCTATACATTCAATCTATATATTCAAAAACAGCGCCAATGATAGAATCGCCATCTAGCGTTGAAAGGCTGAACTAATTTCGGAGTTTGGTCAGTGCCTCTATCGGGAAAACGCTCAAGTTTGTCCTCGAATATTTCCCACTGTCAACGCTAGATGGAGCCATTTCTTTATATTAATAACAAAATTAAGAGTTGAGGGTTAAACAATAATTCTCATTCATATTTTAATATGGCAATGATTGTTCGTCGATTTGTTTTTAAATGTATCGATAAAGAAAAACTGTACGAATACCTGTATCGCCATCTAGCAGTGAACAAGTCAAACTTTTTCCCGGTAGAGGACGACAGGGATATTTGTACAGTTTTTTTTTTTATATGTATATATATATATATCCAAAAACAAATATGTAAACAATCATCTAGGGCCCGCAGAATAAAGTACACGCTCATCCTTTGAAAGCAGGTTTTATTAGATTCAACAAACCTTTCATACAAAACCATAGATAACAATATATTTTTAATAAAATATAGAAATTACAAGATATTATAGATACGCTACTGTACGCTACCGAGGGGAAAACCGCTATTACACAATTGGATCGATGCGACTGCACATAACACTAGAACGTTCATTACGTCCTTTATTTTAAATAATTCGCACTGTATTCATAATTTAGTACTTAGTAGTCACAAACAGTCACAACTGTCACAAGTCACAAGGTTACTGCGTTGCGGCCAAGTGCGTTGTTTTTATGACGTATGTTTGTTTCGTTGTTACGTTAAAATCGAAACATTTCCGTGATCGAGCAACTGTCGTCGTTTATTTAAACGTTTACTGGAAATAGATCGAAATATATCGCCGCGATAGAAAGTACTTATTGGGAGCTTTAATGTTTTATGTAGTTTAATTATTATTTTCACATCCTGATACTGCCAATGCCAATTGATATTTTTTCAAACCTCTGTAGTCGTACGTAGAACAAGTATTAAATTGTACATATATATGTACATATATAATGTTACTCTTTCTGCTGACCTAATTTGCAATTATACATTTGATTTCAGAAATGCCTGTATTTTTGCAAAACGAATTATATAAGCATTTATAAAAGCGTTAATACAATTAATGGAAATAAGTTTCGTAAACCTGGAAATATGTCTTTCATGATGTCGAGCACAGAGGTTGCCACTTGTGGTGATACAAACACAACACTCGGAATCGACGAAGCATGCTTTTATATTTTTAATTTGTATAATTACCCTGTTCTATTTTATACCATAGCATGGGAGGCTTACTGGGTATGATGCTCTATTCTTATGAATTTATATATTTTCTTGAAATCTTTGTATGTTATTAATTATTTACAGGGCAATGGTATGTTACAAGCTCGTTTACCACCACAACAAAATACAAGTGTAGTACTATCGACGAAACATCCATTACATATATATTATAAAGTTAAGGAAAAGGGACAACTCCTAGAATATTGCCAGTAAGCATTTTATAAATTATATAAATTTATGTATTTCAAATAACAAAACAATGCTTATGATTATTATAATGTATTTACTTATAATTACTTTTTTCAGTGAAACGTATCCTTTCAAGGAACATGGAAGTTACGGATGGAATATATCATCCGAAAGTTTATGTTCTCATATTTATGTATTACGTGAACCAACAGAGAATTATCTCTGTAAGTTATATTTTATAATAGCTTTCAGTAACCACGATTAATCATGATTCATTAACAATTAATTATTAATTTCTTACAGACATTGTTAAAGCAGTTATGATATATATTTTACTAGCAATTCTGTGGACAACATCAAAGGTTCTCGTGCGAGTGATAAGAGGAAAATTGATGCCTGATAACGTACACGATGTATGTGTTAACAGACGGTATAACATTTTGTTAAATTTAATTGTCTCATTTTTCTATCACAGGATTTAGATAGACTCCAAGAGACTGAGGTTTCAACACATCCGGTGATTAGAACTACAAAATCCAGTACTAGAATACGTTCTGTGGATGCATTTAGAGGGTAATAGTATATGTAATTGTAATATTGTTTATGTTCCGCTAATAAGCGGAAAATATTCCATTATGAATACGATATTAACGTCGCTGTTACAGACTCTCCGTATTGTTGATGATATTTGTCAACAATGGCGGTGGAAAATACGTGATATTTAATCATAGCGCATGGTTTGGACTCACTATAGCAGATTTGGTACTTCCTTGGTGAGCGATTATTTGACTGTGAATTACATGCATTTATACCGCATAGGAACATAGAAAACATATGCGCAAACTTGCAGGTTCGCATGGGTTATGGGATTGACGATAGCGATATCGAAACGCGCAGAACTTCGCGTAATGACTTCGCGTATAAAGATAACTTTACGTTCTCTTCTACGGTCGGTAATATTGATATTCCTTGGATTAATGTTGAATTCGACCCAGGATAATTCTTTCACCAATCTTCGTTTTCCTGGTGTCCTACAATTATTGGCTGTATCGTATTTCGTTTGCGCCACGTTGGAAACAATTTTCATGAAACCTCATTCTCAGGTTCGTGTACAATTATTTTCTTCGTTTGTAGATTTTATATCTACCTAATTGATATCTACAAAAATAACTTATTAGGATACGTTACTTCAGTTCGGACGTTTCGCGTCGTTTCGGGATATCCTGGATAGCTGGCCGCAGTGGTTGATCATGACATGCATCGTAACCACTCACACTTTAATCACGTTCCTCCTACCTGTACCGGATTGCCCAAGAGGTTACCTTGGACCTGGTGGACAATACGATCATCGCGGTAAATACGCGAATTGTACCGCAGGCGCGGCTGGCCATATAGACAGAACGATCTTTGGAACTCATATATATTCAAAGACAAACGATTCTGTTTATGGTCCCATCTTACCCCATGATCCAGAAGGTATGTTGCAACAGTAAGCTATAGCTCGTTCCTAAACGAATATGCAAACAATTGATACTTCTTTCATCGATTTTTTTATCTATGCAGGATTAATGAATACCATATCAGCTATATTGATCGTTTACTTGGGCGTTCACGCTGGCAAGATTCTATTGCTTTATTATCAATATAATTCTAGAGTAATCAGATGGGTATTATGGGGAATACTAACGGTAAGCAGTCGAAGAAAAAGTTCTTTTCAACCGATGAAATAAACAAAACTTTTATTCAGGGTATCATTGCTGGAATTTTATGCAACTTCGAGAGGCAAGGGGGAGTGATTCCTGTCAGCAAGAAAATGATGTCGTTGTCATTTGTTTTGACTTGCTCCTGTTTTGCTTTCTTATTGTATGCTGTTTTGTATGTTCTTATCGATTATAGACAGTATTGGAGCGGAGCTCCGTTTATTTATGCCGGTACGTAATATTGCACAAAATATCTCCAAGATTTGTTTACGAGGCTCACACATTTTATATATTATTTGTTCAAGGATCGAACCCAATTTTTCTTTACGTGGGTCATGTATTAACAAAAGACTTGTTTCCATGGGCATGGAACATATCTAATCCCAGTCACGAATCTTATTTATATATGAATTTATGGACAACGACATTATGGGGAATAATCGCATACTTACTCCACCGAAAAGATATTATTGTAACTGTATAAAAAGTATATGCATCAGTACGATATACGTTTACAACTAAATACCTATGTATCTTAATATAATGATATTAGTTTAAACACTTATTTTCAACGTTATATTTTATTTTGATAAATAAAAATAATAAATATCTTATTATCTTTGTTCAATAATTTCAATAAGTAACGAATAAGTATCATTGTTTAAGCATTTCTGTCCTTCGGTTCTTTGTATGGTAACTTCAAAATTCGAAAAACATCTTCTTCGGATGTGATCTTTTCTGCCTCTCCTGGTACTCCTGGAATGAACGTGTAACTTAATGTACATGCGTATAATACCATCGGTAATGAATTAACGCACCTTCAGATGTGAGACGTTTCAATGTGTATTCGTTCAAAGTATACTTTTTTTCCAAAGCATGTGCTCTCATATTTTTATTAAAAAGATCGCTTCCAGTAAAATAAAGTACAGCGCAATAATACTGATCGTAATGTGCCAGTCTAATATCAAGTCTTCTAAATGGTTTGTTGTTATCATTTGGAACATGGCAGACACCCTAGAAAAAGATTATCTTAATTACCACTTTTCTTATACTAACAAGATCCACATACCATAAATTTTGTTGGTCCAAGAGATATCGTATCGACGATCAATTTCTTTTTCTCAAGACATTCCACAACATTCTTCAGGACTGAAACTTTTTTCTTTGATTCTTTCTCTTTAGAAGTATACATCGGATGCGTTAATAGAACATCGATGTCGCCGCTTTCTTCTTTACCACGCCTGTAACTGCCACAAATTGTAACAATATATTCATTGCTTACTTCCTTAATAACGTTTTTCAGGATATTTTCGATCTGCTCGATCTCTTTCCGCGGGATTCTTTTTTCAAAGTCGTCAAAATACCTGAAGAAAATATTATTTATTATAAAAAAAAATAATCATTCATTCCATGTACAATCTTTTATTATATGGCTATACTTTAAACCAATTTTTTGATGGTGATTGAGTTTGTCTGGATGATTTTTTAAATCATCCAAAGATTTAATACCGGCATCCACCAACTCTTTTGCTTTTGCAGGTCCAATACCAGATACACGCGTTAATAAATTAATTGCAACATTGTTTTCATCCTTATTAATCTAATGGGATACAACATATTTAAGAATTCATGTAACAAGATGCTGTGTGTCATATATGAATATTAATAAACAAATGAAATTAAGGTAAGTACATCTTCCAATTTTTGTAACTTTCCAGTGTTAAGGAATTCATCGATTTTCTTTGAGATTTTGTCTCCGATTCCTGGCAGCTTTTTTGCCTCACCACCACTTGTTACTCTATGTGGTAAACCACTTAGAGTACTGGCTGCTTTACGGTAGGCATTGTATTTATAAATATTTTTGCTGACATTTCGTTCGTAATTCGCCAATTCTGTAATTTAAATGTATGTTCGCTTTTATACATTAGTCGTAAATTAGCAAGAAATTACCAATTTTAAGATTCAATTAGACGAAACAAAATTATAAATCAATGAAATTAAACAATATTAATACCCGTTAGAAAGTCGCATAAATCTTGGTTTGGATTTCCTGTGTTATCATTAGCTTTTCGTTTACCCATGACACGTAATTAATGTACAAAAAAACTATGTTAAATGGAGCTCAGCTCGCAGCTTTTTACTGCTGGATGTTATTGGTTAGCTGTCCTTCGAAATGACGCAAAATTTTATTATTATATACGTGACACTGGTTTTGTAACTGGTTTAATGACTTTCAGCACATGCGGTGAAAGGCCATGAATAATAATAATAATAACTTTTACATTCAAAATTTATGATAAACCATTTTTCATATAAACAAAACGAAACACGAAGAGATCGCGCCCCCTATTCACCCTTATTTCAGAGTCGCAGTTTTGTAGGGTTCTAGTGCGTATTATTTTAAACGTTTCAATTTTTAATAAACATGCAAAAATTACGTACTATCGATTAATGCTACTATGAAAAATAAAAAATAATAGAAAAGAATAAATTAAACTTCAACATTTAACATTTATTTTTGTCAAACAAGTATATACATACAGTTTTACGCATAAATATAAATCGTCTCTTTTAAACGAAACTTCTCTCGATAGCGTGTAACTATACATCGTCACATGATTATAATCTTTCTCGACATATAATCATCTTATAAACCGTCTAATTATAGCAAACACTATTTTCAAAAATACGACTCGCAAAGTAAAAGTGGTAGATTATATGGAAATTAGACTGTTTTAGCCTTATACTTTGCAACTTTAGTGTTTACTAAAAGTTGCAAAGTTACGTATGATAACGGTAAGTAAGTTTGGCATCGTTTCACGTACATAACGCTGAAAGTTAAGTAAATCGATTAAGTTTAAACATGAATGAATTTACTTAGAATTTGAATCGTTCATTCTTTAGATGTCAACAATGATAAGAGAGAGACATTTAGGAACATGTTCTAAGTAGTTTTCTCGTTTACAAGCATTGAATCATTAGATGATCATCACATTATTTCGTTTGAAACTTGACATAGATGGTAGCACAATCACATGTATTGGACGGATCTTTGTACCTCATTTCTAATGTCAAGTTATCATCGTAGATATTAATTTAAAAGCTCGGATCATATTTACGTCTTCTATTATATCGAAGACATACGACTATACACTGCATGACTCTTTAAGCAATAACTGGAAATACAAAGTAGAACACTAAATGCTAGAATGAAAATTCCAACAAAAACATAAATCCATAATTGTGGAAATCTTCCTGGCAACCATAATATCGTAAATTCTACCGTTTTTTCTTGAGTATCTAGAAATAAGGAAACGTGATTAGCAAAAAAGATATTATCAAGTTCGTACCTGAATACAAGATCGTAATTTCTGTACCGATATAGGCTAATCCATATCCTGTATGAGGTGTACCCATTCTGTACGAACAAGTAGGCATTTGCACTTCGTGAATGTCACCTACGTCCATTCTTAATTGATATAATGGTGTTTCATAGGGAGGTAAAATCCAAATCTCGCTTAATTGGTCGGTTGCCGTGTCCAAACTGATATGCATTGCCTTATGCTCGTGACCAGTAAAAATAATTTGAGGGGACAATTCTTTCAATACCTATTAACGCAATGTAATCGTTAATAAAAATCGGAAAATACATTTTTCGCGAATACCAAAAGTCAGCATACATTTTGGACAAAAGTTCCAGGCATGAATAGTAAAGGCATGTGGCTAAATACTACATTTGTCGTGTTTCTTTCTGCGTAATCATTAAGAAAGGCATCTTTCGGAGCTTCTGGCATCGTATGAGTCAGTCTGTTAACCTAACGAGCGAAATGCATGTATTATAGTCTGTTAATACATTCAAAGCAGTTTATAAACAAGTTTTTCATTTTGTTACCTTGAAAAACGTTACCGTCTTATAAACTAAAGTGTCTGGTTGAGAATATGCAAAATTAAATCTATTATGAGTATTAAACGAGACTATATCCTCTTCGCCTCCGATATCGTTATCACCTGGCAAGTAAATTTTCTGAGAAGAAAAATATCGTCGAGTATAGCATAGCGACATATGCCAAACAAATTATACGATAACAATAATTATACCATAATGTGATCAGGCATTTCGAATATAGAATCTAATCTTCTTTTGTATGCTTGAAACATTTCCGCGTTGGCGATATGACCTTCGTCCATAAGGTCGCCCAAAAATGCGACGACATGAGGTTGGGAATGGCCCAATGCTCTTGAAAACGTTTTCTTTAAATACCTGGAAATAAGACACTGTGGAACAGAATCGAGGTGAATGTTTAAATTTCTTAGGAAGAATCAGAGTTTGTACATAGTTGGTAGTTTGATCGACCGATTAATTGTCGCTCGTACCTATCGCTATCCCATTTTGCTACAGATGAGCCAAAATACTTTTCGGTTTGTTCACCCAATATCTGTGGATCTGCGACCAGTAGTACTTTGACGCATTCCGAACACTCTCGTGAAGACCATTTGAATTTCTGGACATCGTAGACTAGAAATTCATTGTATATTACAGTGAGCAACATTAGAAAGCCAATGACGATCACTCTGTTCTTAAATCTGTAGAATATAATTTGTTAAAATCATAACAATACCTGTTGGTTAAATAGGTTTAAAATTCCACTTTTGCATAAAATGTATGAAGCTTCTAAAAACCGTTAAATAATGTAAGAAGTACAATACGAATATAAATTGCTTTATTTATAACCATTAATAATAACACGAGATAAGAGCAATACATACACATGTAACGATTACATAATCAGCCTTACCTATTTCGTCGTAACATTTTGAAGATTTTTAGTTTCGTCTAATAGCATTAATAATATTAATGTTGAAGTAAATCGGTATATTCTTCGTCATACCGTTTAAGAAACGACAAACCTCTGACATCATTCTGTTTTACTAGTGCATGCAATAATCTAATTAATTAGAGGTTATGCGATTACAATATATGGGTTTCCTAATTTCGTACATTAGCAATTTTCTTAAACAAATCGAGCAATTACGCGATACACAATCCTTTGATCTCGAGTGTTAATTAAACTTAGAAAAATTAAAAAGTTATACAATGATTTCGTTTGAATCATGCTTAGTTCGAAAAAAATCGATGTTTAGGAAGCGCTGCATATTCACTACAGATGGAGATAGTTTTGCTTTTGCGTACATGCCATAAGAAGCGTGTTCGTGTATACACTGGTCACTGGTATAAGCCATAAGCTACAAGCCGCAGAGAATGGTAGAGAATTTCATGGCCGTATTGGTCGCGTTGCATCAGCGAGTGCAATGTTCATCTATTTTCGGGCATTTTGCAGTGGCGAATGTCCTCTGACCGACCAGTGATTTATTGTTTGTAAAATGGCCGAGCCAGAACAAAGGAGCAAAGAAAATTGTACCGCGGGATCGAAGGAAACGATGGTGAAGCAAGAAAAGCGTGAGAACACGTTGACGAATGGCGGGAAGGGATCTGGCGATGACGCGGACAGCCTCGAAGAACTGCCTCTCGATATAGGCGAACACTATCTCGTTCGCAGATCCGATGATTCCTGGCGTAAATACATTATTACTATACGATAAGGACAATCGTTTAATCGCGATTACGTTTCGGATTCTTTCCAATTATCGAGAATAATACAAGCGCTTTTTTTGCGTCTCACATTTACATTTGTATTACCGGCTTCCTTCTGGTCGTGATTGTTTTGAAAACATTATGATGTCACGCATAGATTGAGTCAGCATTACTTCAGAAATGAATCGTACACTATTGAGTCACCGATATTTCCTTTATCTCTGTATTTCTTTTATCATTTTATTATTATCTCGTAGGATCGTTTGATATCGTAAGGAATCGAGAACGCGTGAACTGTGAATCAATGGGTGAAAATGAAATATATACTCGATGTTTCGTAGATTACCAGTCATTTTAAAGAGAAACAATTTTTATACGATATTTAAACCTAATTCGAACCTGTCAAAATGAAAAATAATTTTTATGAATAATATCGATAATCGTCTGTTTATTTTTAATTTTCGCGCAGATCCTGCAGAGATTATACAAACTCGGTATAACGACAGCGAAGGTCACTACGAGTATTATGTACATTACGAAGGACATAATAGAAGATTGGATGAATGGGTGCAAAGGGACAGAATCATGTCCAGCAGGTTTGACATGAGCGACAGAAGCTGGAAGAGCGGTGACAGAAACTCTAGCACTGATTTATTGGCGGACTCTACGGATCGTAAAATCACAAGGAATCAGAAGAGGATACACGATGAAATCAATCATGTACAAAAGGTACGTTTTTTTAAAATCCTACAAAGTACAAGTACCTGAAGAGTTGAATAATCTATTGTTTTTAATTATAGACATATGCAGAAATGGATCCCACGACAGCAGCTTTAGAAAAGGAACACGAAGCTATAACAAAAGTTAAATATATTGACAAAATTCAAATTGGTAAGCATCCATCTGTTCCTTATCTATTGCTAAAGATTACGTGTGAAAAGGGTCTCATTATTTTCAAAAGTTCATTTTCAGGAAAGTACGAAATCGATACATGGTACTTTAGCCCGTATCCAGAAGAGTACGGCAAACAGCCTAAACTATGGATATGCGAATACTGCTTGAAATACATGCGTCTCGAGAAAACGTATAGGTATCACATGGTATGAAAAATATTAATATTAGTCTGTAAATGTCCGATATTTATTAAGAATAACTAGATTAAGAATTTTAACGATTTAATTTCAGAGCGAATGTACTCACAGGCAGCCAGTCGGGAAAGAAATATATCGCAAAGGCACATTGAGCATCTGGGAAGTCGACGGCAGAGAGCATAAAATCTACTGTCAAAATTTATGCTTATTGGCAAAATTATTCTTAGATCACAAAACTCTATATTTCGATGTAGAACCATTTCTTTTTTATATTCTCTGCGAAGTTGATAAACACGGAGCTCATTTGGTTGGCTACTTTTCAAAGGTATTTTTTTATCTATTTATCGCGTTGCTCATAGTTAATCTTTGATTTAAGCCTCTTTTGTTTTATGTAATTCTTTCAGGAGAAAGAATCACCCGACGGCAACAATGTCGCTTGTATATTAACTTTACCACCGTTTCAAAGACAAGGCTATGGAAAACTTCTGATAGCTTTCAGCTACGAACTGAGCAGAATAGAACAGGCAGTTGGTAGTCCCGAAAAACCATTAAGCGACTTAGGAAAGTTATCGTACAGAAGCTACTGGAGCTGGATTCTTTTAGAAATCTTAAGAGATTTTCGTGGCACCCTTAGCATTAAAGACTTGAGGTAACGTTCTAAAAAAATTACGAAGTTAAAGCAAACCGAACATAGTAAAGCTATCAACCTTTACCGATGCAATTTCCAGTCAGATGACGAGTATTTCGCAGACGGACATCATATCGACGTTGCAGAGCATGAATATGGTTAAATATTGGAAGGGGCAGCATGTGATCTGCGTGACACCCAAACTAGTCGAAGAACACATTAAAAGTAGCCAGTACAAGAGACCACGGCTGACAGTGGACAGCAGCGCGCTTAGATGGGGAGCACCGCCACGAAAAAACGTGAAACCTGGCAAGAAGTAGTGGAAAGCAGATGGAAACTGAATGATCTTTGCTACCGTGATATTCACGACTTAACACATTTAACCAAACTTGAAAAACGGCTTTCCGCGATAGTTTGGAAAATGGTCTCGAATTTGTTATACATCTTATCCGTGATGCATTACAGTCTCTACTAAATACGCACTGTATGCGCGAGTCTCGGTATTTGTTCAGAAGATGACACGGATGAACATGTTTTAGCTTCGTTAATCTTTCGGAGTGTAGGGACGACGAGAGATATTTCAAGGTTTCCCTTACACTTCTGCTTTTTCTGGAAACATTCTGAAAAAGGAGCGGAGCGACGCAATGAAATACCATGTATTCGTTTGACAATGAAGGAAGCGCTTTAGTTACGTTCAAGATTCGTCGACTTTAACGCGCAACCATGCATCGTGTTGCACATAAAAATTACCATAATTATACCACCCAGTATTAGCGCGTATTAACGACTTTCTTGTAAATTCGTTAATAATAAATCGCATATATTCACGAACAATTATTTCGCGTAGAATTTCCTTGAATATGATTAATAGATGTTAATGTTTTGTAGCACTCGTTCGTAGTTATAATTTTGCAACAGAGGACCTATGCATTTCCTTTGCTAATTGTACGGCGTATTTGGCAGTTCCAGGAGCGGTACATACTCCGTATCCACCATGTCCATAATTATGCACCAGCTGTAACATTGGATATCGTCAGTGATAACGAAATCTGACAAAAAAAAAAAAAAAAAATACGGTAAAACAAATCACTTCTCAACTAACGATAGCTTTGGAATGTCCGTTTGTAATACGCTCAGCCTCTACGCGAACGTTGTTTTCTCTGTGCGGCCTCAAGCCGACTTCCTCTTGTAAAACTGTGGCCTTTTTAAGGGATGGAACTAAATTGTCGCATCTCTCGCGAATCGCCGCGGACTCGTGACGGCATAGACTTATATTATCACAATCGAAACTCCTTGTTCCACCAAGGGTAACTACGCCGTTAAATCGTGGTATAATGTAAGTGTTCAACTCGCCGTAAAAGAATGTTTTTATCCACGGTGCATGTACCTAGAGTTTTTTTCAAAATTCATACATCGAAGCTTCTATTGATACGGAACAAATTCTTTGATAATACATACATACTTTGATCACTTGACCCCGTAGAGAAACGAGACATCTATCGTTACACAGGGTGCGTGCACCAAAGCCTGTGCAGTTCATAATTAAGTCCCAGTCTGTAGCAAGTTCTGCGAGGGAATTCAATTTCCTTATCGTCAGTTTGGTTCCACCTTCTTGTAGTCTGCAAATGCGAGTTTCTTTGTGATTACTATATAAAAAGTAACGTTACTCGACAAGAAGTTGTATACTTTCTGCGAGCCCATGGAAGGTACAGCTTACAGTCGGTAAGGAGAGTCGTTAAGAACGAACCGTATTTCCAGTTACCCTCGACTAATCGAAACTCCTCGTCCGTAGCTCTCCTATATACTGGCACCAAGTCTTCGAGCCAGTAACTCTGTTGTAAAGTGGTAAAAATTAAAAAAAATTGTCTTCAATGTATGTTACCCCGTTCATACCCGCACCTGCATGCAGTATTTTTTTATATTGTAATAACAATAGGGCAAGATATATCTTTCAAAAATACTATTTCAAAATTTTATCCAACTTTGATTGTTACTTGATAATCATTTTAAAGGGAAATTGATGTAAAACGTTTTTAAATAAAGTAAACCTTAACGGTCTCCACCGAGGAGTTGGCAAATATGTAACCGGAAATACTAGTTACTCCGGCGAGTGAAGCTTCGCGCGTCTTACGGATATCATCGTAATACTCGTATGAATCTCGTATCCATTCTCTGAAAAAGGATTCAATGATACTTTATATAATAATTTTAAAGGAAAACGAAAAGCGTTCCACGATTTTATCGCGTTAGACTCAATGTACTTGGTTATATTTTCAGTTGGTCCAGAGTACGAAGAGCTAATTCTGAATATCCCAGCAGCGACATGACTCACGGTACGATCGAAATCGGAAGCGAAAACCGTAATTTCAGCGTTATGTAACTCTTGTTGCAATTGTAAAGCTGTCGTTAAACCAACAACTCCTCCTCCGACAATGGCCACTTTCATTTTGCTATTCGATTGAAATAAAAGCTATTCTTTTATCAATTTCAATATATTAAACGGTACACTTGAGACACGAATGTCGGGACTGTGGTTTGTTTCAACGAACTGATTATGCGTAAAAAAATGTTCTGCATTAGCACTCGACTCTTATCTTTCGTTCAACGAACTTTTGTTATCGAATGTACCGTATACCGTATACACCGATATCAAAATACGATAATGCGGGTCGCGTAATCGTCGAAATGATTGCACATAATCTATTAAAAGAATTACGTTTATTTTTAATACAAATCGATACCTTTCAAAAAGTTGTTGGGAATTCAGATAATTACGGGCAGTTGAATGTTTCTCTTATTAAAGAAGAGAAATACATATAGTTTTGCGTAAAGCAGAAGGGCATTCACCGAGTAAAAAGAAACGATCCATGCTAAGCAAAGATCGACCGAGATTATGTACAACGAATGTAAGAATTTGGAGAACTAGTTGATTAAGCTCAGCTTCACTTTACTAATTTATATTTGCATTCGTCGTTTAATACGAAATTTGGTCTAATCGCATCTATCCCCGTGTATATACAGACTCTTTGTTTCCACAGATAGAACGAGCTGAAACGAACAAAAAGAAACAGAGAAATAAAATAAATGGAATTGCATCAAGACCCATATTTTTGTCAACTATACGTCTAGGTTGAAGACAGTTCGTGGTAAACTATAAAAGTAAAATATACAATGATAAATTCGTCTTCCACGTGTAATATCTTACATCTTCAACAATGTACTCCCTATTAACAATCGGTCGTAAAAGTCCGAGTCCCATGCTATAAATTACACTCGTGTCGTGCTTACAATCTCCATTATACTCGATCCTTTTTCTTTTCTTCGTATCGAAAATATATCAAACGTAATACGAATACGCCGAGACCTGGACGCAATGGAACACTTGGTCGCATGTGAACTCTTCGTTTCCGAGGATGACGATCGTATCACGAAGAGTGAAGCTATTTACAGGAAGCGAGAACAATCGATGAGAATTGTTACTAATAATAATACATAATTTTCGTTAAGTCCTGCGTAGAATTCTAACGACTTCGGGTCGCTTTCTTATCGAGACCACCCTACGTTTACGAACTTCCTTTTTTCAAGTTCAGTCTAAAAACGTTGCTCGATGACACGTGAACCTTACGCCTTGCTACAGGGTTGTATCGTGTAATTCAGAGGAGGAGGAGGAATTAAAAGTGGTAACGGAGTGGGCGGAGGAGGAGCTTGAACGGTATTCGAAGTCGTGGACGTTGCCGCTGGAACTTCGATAGGTCGCGTCGTAGAATTGTACGCGGATAGATAGCTGGGCCAAAGATGCGGTGGGGGTGGTGAACCAGGAGGTGGCGGTGGAGGGGAACGATCGTCCAGATCGTCCGAGTCGTCCATCATCATCGCTGTTAACGGAGTTACGCGCGGCTTCTTCAGCTTTATGATTTTTACCTGAAAAATACTGTTCGTCAGACTCTGAAACTTTTACGACAAAGACATTAAACGCATGGATTGTCAATTGCAGTTGACATTTACATCGATTAAGATTGGTCAGTCGAGACAAACCTTCACTTTTTTCTTTGCCTTCGGTGGTCGTGTTCTCTTCTCTTGTTTCCTACTTTTTCTCGAGCTAGACCTCCGTACTTCGCGAACTCCATCTCTGGTAATCACAGACGATGGAGGCGGAGGAGACGGCATGTCTCCTTCGCCGCCACTAGGACTCGTGCCTTCGCCAGGTTTGATTCCGTCCGCGAACTGGACTGACTTTTTACTCCTTTGTTTCCTCTTGCTTGATTTCGTTAACCTTGACTTTGTTTTGGTTTGAGCCTTTGATTTCCGCGCCTTATTGTCAACATCGTCCTTATTCGATTCGTTGTTTTTGTCTACATCCGCGCTTTCTTTATCCGTGTTGTCTTCGCTTTCATTTTCGGGAGTAGACAGTTCATCCAGGTTGCCGTTAGGAACCAAAGATCTCCTTCGACAAGACAAAGTTGAAAACGTTAATTATCTAAGCCGTTTCCCATACAAATCGCACCAAATTTTATATCTAAACACATACCTGAAACCTTGCGCAACTAAAATTCCCTTTAAAGGCGGTGGGGGCAAGTCTGGCCACTCCATGGACTCTGTATCGACTTGGACATTGCTTGTTTCGCTCGTCGACGCTACAACAGCTTCGGGCACTTCATTTCGTCGATTGTTTAATCGCAATGAAGACTTTTCGTCGTCTTCTTCCTCTTCGTCTTCGTCATCTTCCGCTTCCTCTTCGTCTTCTTCGTCATCCTCCACCTCGGCTTCTTCTTCCTCTTCCTCTTCTTCTTCCTCGTCGACAACTATTATATCCTCTTCTTCCACTGGAACGGAGAATGTAGCAACTGGTGTTTCTTGTTCTTTGTCGACAGCTGCAATAGAGGGTTGCGACTCTTCAGCGTCAGCTTGTTCCTCGGTTTCTCGAAGAGCTTTCAAGACAGCTGGATCCAGACTCGAGGTCTGCGCTTGGCCGTCGCTGTCCGACTGACGCATAGTACTCTTCTCCAATAATCGAAGAGCGCGTCGATTGATCCTCTCTATTCGCCTGCGTTCCTTTTCTTTCCTTCTCATTTCGCGCACTCGTTTGCGTTCTTCCCTTTCTTTACGACGAGTTTCCAGAATAGCCTCGTAATTATATACGGGTTGAACTGGAGCTTCTGTAAAGAAACAATTGAACAAATAGTATGTATTGCGTATCGTATTCTAAAGTTCTAAAGTTTAAAATTTCAGATTTACATACTTGGAGGTGCTACTTCCGTTCTGGGGAACGTCGTCTGCGTCACCGGAATTGGAACCGGAACTGGGACGGGTACAGAGATAGGTAATGGGACCGGAGATAACGTGGACACTGACGTCGATGAGTTTATCACGGCTGGAACTGGTACTGGCATGGGGACTGGAACTGGAACAGGTACAGTGATAGGAGGGACCGAAGGTACAGGAGAAGGCTGTGGGACTGGCGCAGAGTACATCATTCCTACGGGTTGGTCGACCGACGAGGACTGTCCACCACTCCAGTCTAACGATGTCGGCACAACTTGAAGAACATTACCTACTCGCACGACCTGGCTAGAACCGCGGACGATTGGAGCTGGCGTGGAATTCGTTGGTTCCCTACGCGCAGTAGGAACTCCATTGAAGTCTGCGGGTACTACTTGCAGCACGTTGCCCACCTGTTAGACATTTCATATAAGTTTATAGATCCAACTCCTATAGATAAGAAGAGTAATAGCTTCTCTTGTCGCATACTTGTAACACTGTAGGTTGCTGACGATACATCATCTGCTGTTGCGGCGACGAAGGATAACAGACGTTGGAATTGAAATTATCAGGATAGTCGCTCATGGCTCCTGCGTTGTCCTGTTGTTTCTTAATCCCTAACTCGAGTTCCAGCCTACGATGTAAATTCTGAACATAATTATCAGATATTCAACTAGAATACGTTCTTATTCGCTAACAGGATTAATCGATTTACACGTTTGAGAAGCAGACGAAAGGAAGGGCGGTTAAGTAGTAGGTGTCGCGAACACGAGTGAATTACCTATCATCAAGAGATAAACGTTTCGGTGAACTCGTAGCTGAATCGTCGATACACGGTGGATAGGTTAAGTTATTCTCGCTATAGTAATACTCGTTCCCAACTTCGTTCTCGTTGGCATATTGGAAGCTAGTTGCGACCGTTTCCATATTGCCACCAATATGCATTTCTGAGTCTAATACGGCTGAGTCAGCCATAACCCTAGACATTCCGGATACAGACTGAACAATCGTTTCTATGCGTCTACCCCTCTCAGCGCAGGTGTCTAATTTCCTATTATCGTGTTCTTCCTTTCTTTCCCTCGAACTTTCGCTGATTCTGTCTCGTCCCACTGAGGGTGATCTGAATTAACAGTAAAACTACTTACCAATTGCCAAACATAACTAACAACTATCATATAAACATTTTCTTCACATTTACCTAGAAGATCGTAAGCGTTCTGTTACTCTTAAACCGTGATTGGGACTTCTTAATCTCGACCTGGAAGTGGATCTGGTCCTCGATCGCGATCTCGATCTGGATCTGGATCTCATCATCGACCGCGACCTCGACGTCGATCGAGATCGTGATCGAGTTCTTGATCTAGACCTAGACCTCGTTCGGGATCTTGACCAGGATCTCGATCGCGATCTAGATCCCCGTCTGAAGCGATCGTGCGATATTCTGGGCGGTGAACGTCGTAGTCTTGGCGGAGAACGACATCTCGACGGTGGTAGTTTCTCTGTTCTTCGAACATGTCCGTGTCTATCTAAGTCTAACGAATCCCTGTCTTTCTCCCATTGTCTGTCTCGTCTCGTGTTGGATCTGCTTCTTCTGTTGAAACGACACATTCATTTTTGTTAGTATGTACTTTAATCAGAAGTATGAAATAACACGGTACTCTCGTGGCGTCAAAGTACGCATAATACCTTTGCTTGATCTTTGTCGTAGAACGAAGGGGACCCTCCGAAGCATCTCTTTCCATACTGTCGTCTCTATAGTACGCTTTTTCTTCGTAATCGAGATCCAAACCTTGACCATTCGGGTAAGAGTCCAACGATTCGTTTCCATCCCGTAGAACGTTTTCGGACTCGTAAGGCCAAAAGGATCGATCGATTTCTTCCCCTCGAGATCTACCCTCTCTGTGTCTGTCAGGATCTATGTTTCTTTCTCTGAGCACCTCCATAGGATCGTATGACCTCCCTTCTTTCTCTCGATCCTTTTCTATGGGGTCGTACTTTCTCCTACTCCAATCGTCGCGATCTCCTTTGGTGGATCCATACTTTTTAAAGTGGTCTGTAAATAATTCGTGAATGTAAACATTGGAACAACATTTAAGCCATTCGAGGATTGTTAAACAGTGTTAATACCTTTGCTATACGTGGCAGTGTTGGATCGCGGAGGAGTTCGCGTAGATCTTTCCCTTCTATCCTCCGCTCTAGATCGACCGCATCTCTCCTCGTCGATTCTGATCGATCGTTTTTCTCTACTGGAAGAGGCGATCGATTCGTCCTTCCTCTTCGGACTCTTACTCCTGCTTCTGCTCCAACTACGACTGTGACTCTCTCTCTCCCAGGATGTACGCGGACTAACGCTTCTTCTCTTCCTGTTGCGACCACTCGAGGGGCTCAACCTTCGTCTGCTTTCAGGGTAGTCTTGTTTCGAGCTTCTGCCATCCCTTCTGTCGTTTCTATCTCTGTCGTCCAACTTTTTCTCTCTCCTTTCTTTGCCACGATCGCTGATTCGTTTATCGTTGTCCTTCTTGTCGGGGCTTCGTTTCCTCTGTTCTCTGACCGGTGATCGAAGCTGTGTTTCCGTGTCGCTGACGTCCTTGCCACTGGACCTCGGCTTCTTAAGCTCCTCTGCTTTATCAGACCCTCTGTTGTTCGATTTATATTCATCGGCGTCGTGCTTCACCGAACCTGGGGATTCCGACTTGGTTATAATAGAAGTTTTCACCGATAAATCTTTCGAGTCGACTTTGACGTCAACGAGAGTAGTCTGTTCGGTAGAAACAACGTTGCAAACAGGTATCTCAGCCTGTTTGTCGCATTCGATCTTGAATTCGTTCAAAGATTCCGCGCGGGGTACGCTGCTGTCAGGTCTCATGGCTTGAGCCTCGCGCAGCTTCTTCTGGATCGTCAAAAGAGCTGCGGCGTGTTGCATGGGATTGTCAGAGATCATCTTTGCTTTTCCACGCTCGTTACGTCTAACCAGTAATTGTTTGGGTATCAGTTTCAGAGCTGCTTTGTTCTCACCTGATTCCTCCTCTTTTGCGCTGGTAGAGGATACCACCTCGATGGTCTTCGGACTCAACTTGCTTCGAGACTCTTCGGATTCGTACTCGGCGAATATGTCCATTCGTAGGGATTTGTAATTACTCATATCGGGGCACGGTTCGTTGATTGAAAGCATACTAGGCGAAGCTTCAGGATCTTTGGCCGCATTGAATCTTTTCGGAGTCGTTTGAACCTCTGTTTGCACACCTAGAAGCTCCTCGAACTCTCCTTTCGGCACTGTAGACAACGGGTATTTGTTTTCGCGATACTTTATCTGAAGAGGAATATTGCCAACGGAAATAGAATCTTCGTCAGACATAATACAGGTTTCCTTTTTCAACTTATCCTGAGAGAGTCCATCTCCGAGACGCAAAGAGTTCGAGCGGCCTTTGTCGAATGTTTCCATATCCTGAAATAGATAAATAGATGTATTACATCAACGTGGCAAGAAACACAAAATTAATAAATGAAATAAAATATGTACATACTTCGGATTTTTGAGATGGTGCAGGAGAACTGGGACTATACAATTCGATATTCTTTTTAGTTAACTTCACATCCATTTCAAATAAATCTTTCAGTTTGTCTACAACCCGATGTTCCTTCACGACTGGCGAAGGCGTTCGTCCCTTAATTTTCTCCAAGTATGTATCCCTTTGGGAACTACTTTCTAAACTTTTTATTCGTGATTTACTTTTCACGAGTTCCTCGGCAGTCCAAGATGATTCTAGCAAATTTACGTCTTGAGAATTTCTTGAGAATAAATCAATGATGTCTGAACTCTTGGATATAGACTTTCTGGATTGCTGATCAGCGATGCAAGCGTCTTCGACTTTTATCTTGTTCTTCGACAGCAGCGAATCACACTGTTCCAAAGATACTTTATCACTTTTGCGTTCGTAATTGTTTATATTCGCCCATTCGGCGCATTCCTCTTCCCACATAACGGGAGCTTTAAGCTCTACCTTTTCTTCAGATTGCGACGCTATATCCCAACGACTCTTCTTGTTCTTTTTAACTATAATTGCATCCCGTTTCGTTGATGTATCCATATCGTTGCTAGCTGCAATTATTTCTTTGTGAATATCGATCGTTGTAACGTTATCTTCGATGATCTCTTTCCTCTCTTCTTTTTCTCGCAGGTACAATTCCTCCTCGATGTCCCATTCGTCCCTCTTCCTTTTACTCTTCTGCTCCATAAGAATCATAGCTTCCTTTTCTCCTTCTTCTTGTTCTTCTTCCCAAATTCTCATCGCGGAGAGTCGATCTTGCCTCTTCTTAGATTCTCGCGAAGTTTCTTTCTCTATAGCGATGTATGTGTCCGTCTTTTTATCGTAACGAACTTCTTTCTCGACTTTTTTCAAACTGCGCGTAGATTTCTTTTTACTGACTGGTAGATCGGGTGCAGCTTCCAGACTATCGACTTCCCACTCATCCGCCAGCAACTGCCTTTTGCTCACTTCCCTTTCTAGCTGCGTCAAAGATAGTACATTTAGGGTATCGAATTCAGTCTCTCCCCACTTATCCTTCTGCTTATCCAACTTCTTCGAAAGCTTTGTCTCGTCTTGCGCTACATTCTGCGAGACTCGTTCGCTCTCTTTCTCCCAATCGGCTAGAAATTCATTACTATTCTTTTTCTCCTTGTCCCGTTTCTTCCTCTTCTTCGCGTCGTTGTCTTCTTCGATTTTCTTAGATCCCTGTACGATCTCCGCTCCAATACTCGAACACGCCTCTTTGAGACGTTCGTCCTTCTTGCTTCGGTCGTCCTTTTTGTTTCGTTCGTCTTTCTTTTCCACCTTCTCGAGGTCTTCCACATCTGCGTCAGCCATTTTCTCGATACCACCTTTCGATACTCTCTCCGACTTGTGCTGCGGTATAGTCACAGGATCCATTTCCCAATCCTCCAAGTACCTTTCGCTCATTTTACTTAACTGCTCTTTGTCCTTGTGAGCTTTGTTGCACACGACGTTGTCGGAAATCACTTTCCGCGACAAGTCTTGCTCTTTCACCCAAATGTCGTGTTTCTCGATAGACCTTTTTCTGGATTCGACCTTCGCTTCCTCCTTGATCTTCTTCGTTGGAACATGTGGGCGCAGTAACTTCGCGTTTTGCGACAGTGGAGAATCCAAGGATGATTTTTCAACAACTTTTATCAAGTCATCGTTGTTCTGTTTTTTCGTAGAGTCCCGTTTCTGTTTCGACTTTTTGCCCGCAACTTTCTTTTTTCTTTTGCCATCACAAGACTCGCTGTCGCTGGAATCGGAGCTCACTTTTCTCCTTCGTTTTTTCTTCGTCCTAGCTATTCGTTTCGCTTTCTTCTTCCGCTTCTCAGCCTTTCGTTTCTTCTTTCTTCGTTTTTTCCGTTTGTCATCGGAGCTGGAGGAATCGCTGCTACTACTGCTGGTGGTGGTAGTGCTGCTCTCGCTGCTCTCCGAATCCGAGAAACTTGAGTTGTCCTTCGACAACTTTCGTTTCCTTCGCTTCCTCAGTGCTTCTTCCTCGGAATCTGAAGAACTCGTAGTGCTGGACGACTCGCTACTGGAACTCACCTTCTTTCGCCTTTTCTTCTTTTTCGTCTCTCTGGAATCAGAATTCTCGTCGCTGAGACGTTCCACTTTGATTTGAACATTTTCCCAATCGCTGGGAATCGATCTAGAATCGTCAGTGTTGCTTTTCTCGTGGATTTCTTTATCGTTTCTCGCGCATTCCTCTACCTGAATACGAGAACTGCTCAAAGACGCTCGGTCGTCCACAACTTCCGAAATATTCACCACATTTTGGCGATTCTCATCGCTTTTCATCTTTTCCTCAGTTTGATTTTTATCCACTTTATTCGATTTTCCAGGTGTGTTATGATCAACAAAGGGAAAAGTGTTGTCTTCCGGTAAATTGGTTTCTATATTGAAGTCGTGGTAGCTCAGCGACGAAGCGGATTTGATTGTAATCGCTTTCGGTGAGAAGTCTTCCGACGTAGATATGTCGGTGCAAACCATTTTCATAAATTGTTCGTACTCCGATGCCAGTTTCTCGTTACCTGCTGATGATAGCAACGGAGAGGTTGATTGTCTACCGTCATCGTCGGCTTCTTTGATACTGGAAGATTCGTTGTCTTCGTTAATTGTCTTTTTGTTGGCGATAATGTTCTCCTCTACCACGCCCGAACACGGAGAAAAAGACTCTTGCTCTGAAACAAGTTTTGTACGGTATAGTATGCAAGTAAAACACATTAAGAGGCTATCGAAACTCATTTTAATTTTAACTTTGAAACTAAAATGATCATTAATAATTTTATAGAAAGCATTTACCTTTTTCCGAAGTAGCTTCGTTTAATTCTACTTCAGTCCGTTGTTCCTTCTCGGTGTCGTTAGATAATCTATCTTCATCTTCGCTGTCCCATTTTGACCTAGGAAGTTGTACGCTGATGGGGAACTGCCACTTGGTCTTTTCGCTGAATTTGGACATGCCTGCCTTAGGATACCAATGACGGACGCGCGGTGGCTTCTCTACTTCATCGGCATTATCTCTAGAATTGTTAGGATCTGAATGGGTAAAGAAAAATTGCAGAGATAAACGACAGTGTGATATACCGTGTAACGTCTGCTTCGCATATCTTCCGCATCTTATCGCGACGATCAGCAGGGACGACTTGAAGAATTTGTTGACGATTGAGGAAAAGCGACATACGAGGATTTTCACAGTAAAGTAATTGAGGCCTTCCTCGTTTGGTCACTTTCACCGATTCGGGAGGATATTCTTTAGGTCCATCGAGTCCTTCAGCGGTGAAAGCGTATCGCTTTAAACGATAGTCGTTTAATAGTAACATTTGCTCCAAGTAACGTAAATAATCCTCGGCTATTCTGTAATATATGTATTTATAAAGATTCGTTTAACACGTAAACCTGCTTGAAACAAATCATTAACAAACCTGTTCTTCGTCGATCGTTCCGAGTAATCGCGTCTTCTAATGTCAATAACATCATCCGTCGTAATTCCACACTTCTTTAGCTCCACCCACGAAGAAAAATTTGTTATATCCTTCTCTTTTCCCTTCTCTTTGTCTTTGTCCTTCTCTTTTTTCTCTCTAACTTCGGAACTTTTCTCTTTCGAAACACTTCTTTTTTCCCTAAAATTTTCTTTTTTCTCCCTTGTTACTTTTTTCTCCTTTATATCCTCCCACCTATCTTTTTCATTATCTTTTTTATCTCTTTCATCGTCCCGCTTATCTCGATTTTCGTCATACTTGTTAGTATCGTCACGTTTATTATCTCTCTCATCTTTCTTATCTTTCTCTTTCTTACGATGTTCTTTATTATGGGAGACCTTATAATACCGTTCCTTGCTTCCATTGTAATCTTTTGTTTCTCTACTCATGCTATCTCTTCGTTCTTCTCTACCGTATCGCCTTCTTAAAAATATATAAGCGATAAAATCATATATAACAAGTATCGTAATATTTATCGTGTAAAGAAGAATTTGTATACCTTTCGGAATATTTGCTGTCCATCATCGACTTTAAAGTACTTTTACGAGAAACGCTAATATCATCATGCCTATTTCTCTCTCTCATACCCTTTACATTTTCTAATAAATTTTGCCCGTTCCTATTCACGTAGTTTTCTTCTTCTAAACTAGCTGCAAGACAAAGGAGTTATTGCCAGTAATAAATTCGAAGTTTAAACTCAGCGCGATTAAGTACCTGAGGCCATTGCTTCTGCCAGTAGCATTTTACTTTTGGACTCTTCTCGTCTAATTTCCTCGATGGCCAGTATCTTTCCTTCTACACAGTTTCATCATTCAATTAGTAAAGCGTGCTAACGTTAGAAAATATATTAATACGTTCATCGTCCGAGCCTGGAAGCATGGAAAAACTCACGCGTCTCGAGAGTTAACAAGCTCTTTATACAGTGCCGCATACGTGACATAACAATGTTTTTGTATCAATTTTAAACTATATAAAAATAAACAGATGCCTAAGACAAATCTCGCCTACAGGTTGACAGACTGTGAACGTGTTAAGTCGATTTCATTAAACGATACCTGTTTTTTTCTTTAATTTTCCACTACCCGAATGACGCGTATGAAACTGCTGTATAGAATCCGTGTCCATACTTAACCCTGCATTAGATTCATTTTGCGAAGACTTGTCGTCGCTAATCTTACTCTTAGACATTTTCCCAGAGCGAGCTTGTAGTAAATTGGATTTATTCGAAACCTTTGGTAGCATGCTAAACTTATTGACGAATGCCATCAATCTCTTTTTCGCTTGCACTTTCCCTAGTACAGGTTTAAGCATTTTAGGACTCTCCAGTCGGGGTGTGTCTCCATCACTGACTTGACCCTTTGTACTATCTGGTGTTTCTGGCATTTGTATGTCAAGCAAAGATATCGGAATGTCTGGTGTCGGCTCCTCCGGAGCATAAGCATCTTCTGACTGCGACATCGTGTTAGTATTTTTCTTTACCAGTTTATCTACATATAAAATCACATTGTGATAATAGATATGTAAGTGGAAATAAACTAGTCAATAGAAAAAATTACCTTTACAAAGATTAAATTGCTATACTTGTCTCTGTCATTGACAAGGTCTTACCTTGTCATGCAAGCAGTTATTCTTTCAAGCGACTATCACAAGCATAGATGAAAGTATCATTTTTTCCTGTTCAATGTACATCAGACTCTACAAAATAAAATGTGTATCGTTTACAGTTGTGTTAGAGTACATTATCACTTTTTTATGATTCGAATGTTTCAAAGGAAAGAATGTCTATACACGGAAATAACCAATAGTATAAATAACATTTTATCTTCATCCTCGAGTATTGTAGAATCCACCAAAAAGAGAAGTCACGTTCAACGGTATAAAATAAGAGCGATACATTCGGAATACAAACAATCACGCGTACACTTACGAGACCTCGTTAAGGAGCCGTCATACAATTTACACAATCGTCGATAACATCAAGTTTAATTAATTCTCGTAAGAAAAGGTATTCCTCAAGCAGGGTTGACAGGGATAATATTAAGATATCGAGCGAGTCAAACTACCGAAACATATTTGAGATAATATCAAATGGAACAAACGTACTGTAAGAAAAATACTCGAACACTTGATTTTCGTATATATTCTATAAGATCGCGAGGAGTTTGTTCTCGATAGGATTTCTTGAAACTGTCACTGCCCAATAAAATACAATGGGATCGCGAAGGGATATTAAAAAAGTCGACTTGTAGAAAACCAAATATCACAGAAATAAAGTGTTGTCAATCGTTACGGTAACTTACTCCGTGGTAAACGCTAAGTAACCAACGAATACATGATGCCAGTGATAAAAACGACGTTACAATCCGCGCGTCAAGGTTGGAACTTTTCAAATGCGTGAACCTTTTTAATTCTACTGTTCTGTTTCCGTGCTCGTCCAAGTCAAACGGAGCCACTGCGTGAAAAGCGTCAGACATTTTAGTCAAACGACAGGCCGGCAACTATAGACGCTTGTAAGGCGTACGCAGGGATGCCAATTGATGAGGAATAAAAACAGGGTATAGTGTGGAAAAATTACGTAAATACACGTACTCGTCTTCAATAATGATCAAATGAAAAAACGTAAATTGACGTAAATATCAATTAACCTTTTGGCCGAGAGACGATTTTTGCTTATCACGGAAATTCTAAGGGGCCTGCCACTGCTAGGGGCGTGACTATAATTCGAGCGCCCCGCGCAAGTGGAAGGAATTTAAAAATTTCGTCAAATCAAGTTTTAAAAAATATCTCCTTATAAAGAATGACAAGACGAAGCATTTTTATATTTACAGTTTATTCATACGACACTTAGTTTCGAAAATAAAAATTCAAAACTTGAAAGTCCTTTTTTCCTAAAATTGGATTAGATTTTTAAATATAACTTGGTTGAATGTAGTAGGAAATCTTTCAAATTTCATACAGGGACTGATGCCTACCAATTCATCGAAAAGTCGAAAATCCATTACTGGGTATAAATATTCAATTGCAGATAAATAACTGCCACCCTAAATTTTAAACTTGACGAGATAATAATTAACTTTAAATTGATTTTATATATACGATATTTAATTTAGAGATGTCAGTGGTAAAAGAGAATTCATTAAGTTTATATAAATAATGATAAAAGAACCTATCACTTGACATGTGCAATTCTATGTTTTTGTTCTGTATCTTACATATATTGCAATTATATTACGATTTAATTCAGAGCCATATATCAGAACGATTCCATAAGCAATTATGTGTGTGCAGTACGTGTCTATACGCATTATATAATTAATGCATAAATTAATCTAATTCAGTTTCTGAAGGATCACCTCCCATCGCTTTCCAGAAAGCAGTGACTAATTGTTCGGCTGCTATTCGTCTCTGGTTAGTCGGTAGCGATGCCGCGTGTACTTTCATAGCCATTAGCTGGCAAAATAATTCACCGAAATCTGCGCTTTCTTCCCCCATAATTCCATCTGAAAAAAGAACGATCGTTATCAGTTCGAAACGTATTTTTTAATAAATTTGTTTTCAAATTACCCAGCATATTCTCCATCGGTAGTCTCTCCACAGTATCCTGGCTCAGTTTAGTATTTTCGAATTGCTCTTCGACTTCGTCCATATCAGAGCCTTGACCTTCGGAACTCGATGATTTCCCTACAAAATTGAAATCAGTTATATGCTTCGTGTCATGAATATTATTAAGTATTTTATATGAAAACCTTTGAGTATCATGTTAGGCCACATATGAGCGTGTAGAGCTTCGACGATCCTTTCGATGCCGTGTTTGTTATGTTCGAAATCAGAATCTGAAGCATCCTGGTCTGGTCTATTTAATTCAATCAATTCAAACTTTTTTTGTAAACACCATTGTATCACTAAAAAGTATAAAATACATAATAGAAGTCCCATTATATATTAGTATTTATATTACAACGAAGATATTATTTATTTGTACCTTTATCTCTGATAAGAGCATCCGTTATAAAATTACAAGAGAATAATAATACTTCTGCTTCCGTTAAAGAAGTAATTAAAGAAGACCACTGTTTTAAATTGTGCTCTGCATTTTCCTAAGAAAGTCAATGATGAAAATCATTCTCCTTTTTTAAAGTTCTTTCTATGAATAATAAGTCTTACTGCCTGTGGGTTGTGATGCACAATTAAAGCTTCTACACCATCAGTTGAAATATGAGGAGATGGATTTTCCGTAACGCACACTAACACTTGTGCTCTGTAATATTTGTTCTGAATATTCCACAGATAATACTCGAAATAATCTTGGTTGGATAATCGTTCTGCTCCTATACCTGTTAAATAAGCGTTATTTAACTGCTTGTTAAAAACAAGTAGTTGACACTGTCAAAAAACAAAAAACATTGAAACTTCAACTTACTAGTAGCAATTTCGTTAGCTTTTCCTTGTTCTGTGCTAACTATTAATAGCCTTGGCAAATTCATCGTAATAAAATGTAATAACACAATCAGATATCGATAATAGTTTCGATAGAAATTAGTTACTGTTTATCGTTTTAGGTTATGTTTACATGCATCGGTGATGTACATACGTAATGTACTGACTAAATCTTTTAAAAATCACTTTTATTCGATACGCAGCAATACTTCTTTGCTGCGTTTAATAAAACATAAATTAAATTAATTTAAACATTAACGTGACGTTCCGTTTCGTAATATTTCGAAATGGACGACTACAGCAAGGATGTTTTTTGTTGTTTTGGCTATTAAAAATGACTAGGGTAATTTTAACTACGTTCGTGTAGCGTGTTGCAGTTCAATAGATTCTAATTACAAAATATAACTATACCATTCAATGAATCATTTAAATTAATTGTAATCGCCATTGCAGCTTAAAATAACTTGTACAATGCCTTCAGTGTATACATAGGGAGAGTGTGATTTAATTCCAGTGATAAGGATAATAAATACGATCACGTACACGCAATGATGCACACACAGAAAATGTGTAAACGTGTATTGATTATTAGATTCATAGTAATACATGAATTTGCAAATATATATGGAGCCATAACATGTAAACGACATATAGGAATACGCTTTCTCCCTTTTACTTGTAAAATTCGTGCTCGGATTCGTCTTTTTTAATATTGTTCTTGTAACCCTTCTCGAAATCTTTCGCTAACACTATGTAACGATTTTCGCGAACAGCGTGCATTCCTGCTTCCTGACAGATCGCGTTTATATCAGCGCCAGAAATTCTATCTGGCCGCGCCACGTAATCTTCGAGATCCACTTCTTCGCTTAAATTCATTTTCGTAGTGATCGTCGAGAAAATCAGACGTTTTTGTCGACGATCAGGCAAAGGAAATTCGATCTTCCGATCTAATCTGCCAGGACGTAACAATGCGGGGTCCAACGTATCAGCTCTGAAAAAGAAACAGATGAGTAAACGTAGCTACGCAATATCAACTTATATCGTAACAAAGACCATTGTTCTACCTATTCGTGGCCATTATAACTTTAACGTTAGTTGTCTGATCGAATCCATCCATTTGATTGAGCAACTCCAATAAGATACGCTGTACCTCGCGATCGGCACCCGTCTGAGCATCAAATCTCTTCGTAGCTATAGCATCGATTTCATCAACAAAAATGATAGCAGGTGAATTTTCCTTAGCTAAACGGAAAACATCTCTGACCATTCTGGGTCCTTCACCCAAGTATTTCTGTACAAATTCAGAGCCTACTACACGAATGAACGCAGCTGAAAAATATATCGATCGTATCGAATTAATTTCTACAGTTTTAAACTTCTACACATTTAAATTTCTATTCCGAATTATGATTTGTACCTGTAGTATGTCTAGCTACTGCCTTTGCAAGCATAGTCTTACCACACCCAGGTGGACCATACATTAGTACACCCCTGGGTGGATCAATTCCAATCTGTTTATACAACTCGAAGTGAGTAAGAGGCAGTTCTACCGCTTCTCTGATTTCTTGCTTCTGCATATCCATACCTCCAATATCGCTATACTGAATATCAGGCTTTTCATCTGTAATATAAAGCAATAGGTAAAAGATCTAGCGCATTTTTTTTGTATTGAAATTGTAAACGATAAATGTATACCTGCTTGCAACATAGAGATACTTGAGTCAGCTTCCGGCGGCAACACATCTACCAAAGCATTGCTATGCTTATGAAGCGCCACGCTGGCTGAAGGCTTCAACAACTCTCTATCAATGGTAGACAAAATGCGTACATAATAGTTAGAACCCGTGGTAGAGCCTACTATACCAGTGTTTTGATCTACAGCTTCCAAGAACTGGCCAATAACTAAAGGCACGCTCTGTATGCGTTTTACTTCTTCTTGAGCATGGAGATACTCCTTCTTCAGATTACGCTGCTCATCCTTGATGTACTCTTCTTGAACTTCAAGAAATTCCAACATTCTCTGCAGTTTCTATTAAATTCAAATACATGGTTGTATAATTCGGATGAAATGAATAAACTAACGCGATCATCTAATGGCTACATAAATGTTTGTAATACGAATGGACATACCTTGTACTTCGTGTATAAATCTTCAACGTCCAATTCATCTCCAGCACCAGTATAATGTCCAATTACAGGCTTACAATCCATCTCTCCAGCATCCTATAATTTTAACATACGTGTTAACCGATTTCGATTTTAACCAAAGAACAAAATAAATAAAGTATGATTACGCAGAAAAAAAATTCTATTTTGATGACGAAACGAGGTTACGAGAAACGACACGGAACTCGAATACGATTTGAAATGTTGTCTACGAAATTAAAAGAAGATATATGAACGAATGTATGCGTACCTTATCGGGTAGAATAACACTCATCTCATCCATATTTTCGCAATGATTTCAGCCGCCTAAATTTCAATCGAACATACGAATCAACGAATGACTTGAGATTTTTGAGCAGATTCGCATCGGTGGTATTCGGTAGGGGTGGGTACCATTAACTACTTAATAGATAGACGAAAGGAACAAGGAAAAGGAACAAGGAAAAGTTCAAAGAAAACTTTTTTCTCGATATAAATTATTTCGTAAAATTTCCTATCCAAATTGCATTTGCATTATTCTACGCGAATATAACGTTTTACAAATAATTATATCTGAAAGATCGACTCTATGATAACAAATGAAAATTCCCTAGAAAATCGTCCTATCGAGACGTAACTCAGCATAACCTATCTCTGAATTGTATGACTTATGGCTTGATATTTAGAACGGTTCTCGATGTTTATAAGTTTCGATTCAAAACAATTTGGATGCTGTTTGTACACACATACGATAAATTAAATCGTTTTATATCATACAGATGTATATTATGTAAATATACCTTATAATATAAGAATAAGGTAAGTTCGATTGAAATTACATTAAAATTGAAAACACATTTGCAGGTTCTGAATTCTAGGTAAAGTTATAAACGTTCGTTTGGTTTTCACTTCTTAACTTTGCGAGTAACGATGGTGATGGAAGAACAGCAATCAGATATGGAACTAGACTCTGAGAGAGTTCCTGTTCCTCAAGTACCAAAGCCAGTAGAAGACTCCCATGTAGAGACTGTGAACAATGTCACAAGTATTTCACGAAGTAAACCCAGACTTAGGAAGAAGGCATTGCATGCCGCAATACTTAAGCAAATGGAGTTTTACTTTAGCGATGCAAATCTAAGTAAAGATAGATTCTTGAATCATTTAATTGAAAATGACCCATGTAAGCTCAAGAAACCTTATTTTAATTGTAATATACTAAGCTTTTTTTCGTCCTTTACTGTTTAAGCTTCAATCCTTTAACATTTTTCAGATGTTGATATCAGTGTTTTCCTACAATTTAATAGAATCCGAGAATTAACTACGGATGTAAATAGAATAAGTAAAGCTCTGCAAGCATCAACGATTTTATCATTGTCCGAAGATGGAACAAAAGTTCATCGTATAACGCCGATAATGGTAAAAGAAAATACAGATGATTGTACAGTTTATGTACAAAATTTACCACCAGATGCGGATCACGAGACGGTGCAGTCGTTCTTTTCCCAGTATGGCCCAGTTGTGTATGTTTCGCTACCACGGTACAAACATAATAGAAAAATAAAAGGATTCGCATTTGTGGAGTTTGATACACCAGAATGTATCCAGAAATGTCTTAAGGTGAACAGTAACAATGCAACAATATAAAAATGGAATATTTTAATTGTAGATGTTTACTTTCGTTTTTTGTAGGCTTTCCAAAAGAAAGGATGCGTGTTACCTTCGCACACTGCTCCTGACGAACTCTTAAGCATTACTACTTTTGAAGATGCTGAGAAAGGCACGACAGCGGAGGGAAGATCGGCAAATTCAACCGATACCGTATCATATGAAACGAACAAATACGTGAAAAGTACCGATGATACAGAAGAATTAGAAAAAATTGAAATTGAAAGAAACAGAAATCTCAAAAACGACGCGGAAGAGGAACATGCAATTGCAAACAGTGCTTTAGATCTCTATGAAAACAAAAACAAAAAGAAGGCAAAGAAGAGGAAACATAAAGACACAGAACTTGTAGAAGCAGATGAGATGGAGAAACAAATAGATTCTGGAGCAACAAAAAACAAAAAGAAAAAGCTTAAACTCACGACCGATATACATAGCGACGAAACGGAACAAACTAACGAAGAGCGAAATGATAATTCTTCGAAAGATATGCCACAAAAATTAAATAAACGTAAAAGAAGCGTATCCGTAAACAAAGAGGAAACACTAGATAACGGCGATGACGGTGAACAAATGATGACTGAAGACAGTGCAGTTGCGACTGTTGAAGAACAAGAGGATGTAAGAGAAAAGAAAAAGAAGAGGAAACGTACAAAACGAACTAAAACGGAGGATATTAGATACAACGTGCAACTACAAGTAATGGCTAAAAGAGACTGGAAATACCTTAGAAATAAATACTTGGAATTACAGAAAAGTAAAATGAAACAACTTAAACAACATTTGAGAAAGACTAGATGGAACCGATGGTCTAATTATGATAAAAGTAGATTAGAGAAAGAAGAAAATGAGGAGACAGAAAAAATGAGCATACAAGACAGTGAAAGTACGAGCCGCTTTTCGTTTAGCCCAGGCGTCATAATTAAGATTCAGATGGATAAACCATGCACAGACCCAAAAGACTTTAAAGTCAGTTGTAATGAATATTATAAGGGAAAAAAGATAAATGCAATTTATTAATATATTTGTATTGTTTCAGTTGGAATTAAAGAGAAATACTTTTGTAAAGTATGTCGATGTTAAGGAGGGTTCCTTCCTCGCTTATGTACGGTTCGAAACAGCTGACGCTGCGCAAATGTTTGTACAGAAGTCTAATGAAGAAAACCACATGACGATATTAGATGGTAAGAGTATTATATACGTAACGATTTGTTGTAAAAACTATATTTACACTTTCGACAGGAGAAGAAGAAAAACTGTACTGGGACAAAATCTCATGTGATAGAGAAGAAAAATTAAGTAAAACGATTAAAACGAAACAAAGAGGAAGGAATAAACTATTGAAAAAGGCAGAGAAAGAACTTGGAAAACATATTAAATTTGATGAAGTGTAAAAATAAAACTACTAGCGTCTTATGAAATATATTTAATAATTGTATATAAAACACATGTTTTTATATTATAAATGTCGGTGCGATAACATGAATGTTGGTAGCAATAAATCAGGTATTCAATATCTGAAACTATTCGTATTTTTGTCTAATGTAATTAATGTATTCCTATTATTCAACATGTCTTTACATAAAAATTTATTTTAATTTTCACTCATCTACCATTTTCCCCTTCCACGACCTCTACCAGAATCGTTACGTCCAAAACCTCCTCCACCACGACCTCTAAAGCCGCCACCGCCTCCTCCTCTATTTCCGAAACCTCCATGACCAAACGATGGCCTACCTCCACCACGACCACCACGCCCTCCTCCACCGCCTCTCTTCATAACTCGTCCACCACCACCTCCTCTTTTCTTTTCTCCAGGTGCTTTAGGCAGAAACCTTTGTAAAGGCAATAGTTTTGCTGGATCTATGAACAGCTAAAACAAAATACAATGGTAATTATTAATGAAAACTTATTATGATTAAATTCAATTTAGATACGTATACATACATAAAATTCAACATACCTGTGTGTCTTTTTGAAAACTAGATGCCCTTATATTTTCTGATAGCTTAATAGAAACATAATAATCTCTAATATTACCAAATATTTCATCTATTTTTCCGATTTGCTGTTTATTTTCTGTGTAAATTGGAGCATTGAAAAAAGGCACTTGTTCTATGTCCACTTTAGCGACAAGATCGTCTTGAACCGTCCATGAAAAATGACCTAAAGGAGTGACTTGTTCCGGTGGACCCTGATCGTATCTTTAACGTACAAGCATCAGTTAAGATTTCTATAGAATATAGACTTTGGAAAGTATCGTTGGAAAGAATCGTTTGTCTTTCTGAAATAAATATTAAATGTGACAATTACCCTCTTCCGCCTCTGTCGAATCCACCGCCACCACGACCTCCACGAAAACCTCCTCCACCTCTTCCTCCGCGAAATCCACCGCCGCCTCCTCCTCTTCCAAATCCTCCACCTCCACGACCACGGAATGACATTTTTCTAGCGTATAATCACTGAAAAAATAAAGTATAAGTACAATAAAATTGCACAAAACGAGATCACATGAGTATAGCGCACGTGTCTAACCTATAATAATTGAAACCGGTTGGACCAAAGAACCTTTATTCCCATACACTTATGCATCAATGTTTATACGTTCATTATTAATTCTACGGTCTTTGTACAAATAATATTACGATACGTTATTAAGAATATGGGACATCACATTTAACAACACCACACCACGCACACACGCACGCACGCGTCTGATTCTGGCTGATCTTGGATTAGCTTGAATCAGAACCCTTACAGTTTGCACCCATCCGTGGCGTCATCGGTGGGAAAATGACCAAGTTTGTAGTGAAAATAGTTTTTACTATTAATGGTAGATGGCACGACTAACTAAAGAGTAAATACTAAATAATTAACGCTAAATTGAACAATTATTCATCAAAATGATAAATATGACATATTAACTGATACGTGTGGAAAAATAAAGAATAATTTAGTAAACATATCGATGGCGCCATCTTTACCACAAACTTTTGCCACCGATGGCGCCACTGATATTAGCTTATCGAACGGTAGTAGCGAACGGTAGACTTTCCAGATAGACTTTCCGTTCCGGATCCAGTGGATTCCGAACAATGTACTACTTATTATTGTCAGATTTTCGTGAATATTGTGTTGATTAAAACATGATATCAAGTTTCTTCGTTATCGACACGCGGCATATGGTTATGGAAAGGAGCCTCGGCAGAGGGCAGCGTAGACGGTCTCAATTGGCGGCGTGTTGGCGGCGTACTGTTCGCCTGTTCGCCGTGCAGAGCTACGTATACATTCGCATAATGTGATTCAGTTTCGCTAGCTCTATTACAGGGTGAGATCCGCCAAGTGTGTGCCCGAGCATCTCTCTGGGAAAAGTGCGTCGCACGTAAGTGCGGGGCGTGATATGAAACAGTGAATCGGAGCCGTGATTCAAATGGACAGGCGACGCTAGTTGCGCGTCATGGAATTGTGAAAGGAATCGAGAACGTACACGTTCGGTGGCAGGAAGTGGGAAAAAGGGCCAGGGATACAACGCTCACGCCCGGTTGTCACGACGCCATGTTTCCCCGAAGTGGTCTACCGATGTCGAGTATCCCTTTGATGGTACTCTGCTTTTTCGTACTTGTCGCCGCCGGCCTTGACGAATCCGGTAAGTCCCGTGAACGTTCTCGCCAAGAGGCCCGCGATCGTCTCGAACGCGATGATTCGCCTTGTTTTCCGCTCTTTCGCATCGAATGCCGCTACAATCGACACAACGAACGTTATGTATAGTATGTAGAAGATCTGCCGCTTGTCATTCGTCGTCTTAGCGTTTGTTGTTCTTCCGTTAAATCCTTTTTGCCTCGAACGAGAAAACACGACTCGCAACACGAACAAAAATCGAACCAAGCCTGCAGAAACTTGCGTACCAACGTCTACGATTGATTAACAACAGGAAAAAATATCGAATGTCACCGGTATACCTTGATCGCTAAAATCATTTATCGTTCGATGCACCCTCGACTCCTTATCTCTTCATCTATTACACTGATCTGTGTTTATATCTCAATTTCACGGTCCATTGATTGCCACAGAACGATCAAATTAATATTCTATCCGTGTGTTAACTACACCTCTGTGTCGTTGTATTTGTCGTATTTAGTAAAATTTCAAACGACATCTCTATATCTTTTGATGGTTTATCAAAATTTCATTTATTTTCATACTTTTCATTCGTATGTAATTTTATCCTCGCTTAATCGATTTTCAGCGCTATCCAATTCATTTCATAGATGCGGAAACAAGTATCTGTTGCATTGCCAACATTTCATCATATTCGATTCAAAATAAGCCTTCGATTGTAGTAATTGTTTGAATATTTTTACTAACTAATACTAATTTAACAAATTTTCGTGTAATTGTACGTACTGTAGAATGCTGAATATTGAAATATATATATTATTTCATTTAAAAAAATATAATTGATCGAATAGATGAAACTAAAATGATCGCTATTTATATCGAAATAATCATTGATTTATACCATTTGTCTCGTGTTTACATTTAGTATGTTTACGTCTATTTGTGCCGCCGGGTGCGATATCAAATTACACTTTTCTCGAGAACTAAGGTCCATTTGATTTGAAACCATAGAATGTGTAATTATCGAACATTCTAACGACTTTAATGAACTAGAAAATATCCATTCGAGACACTGTAGAACAGCTATACTATTTTCTCGAATATATGTATACCTTTCCTTTTACGTGTACAAATACAATTTAATGGTATACATGTGTATATGATAGGTAATTTAAAAGAGACACTTTACACGGGAAAATGTGATTGTCCTTTGAGTCACGATGCTATCGCGATAATAAGCGTTATGCCCATTAAGCAAAGAATTTATGTGACGTATACGTGTATTCGTACGTTTAACGTTAAACCTATAAATGTTTGAGACATAACGAAAGCACTTGAAAATTTATGTATAATTAAAAGTAACTCGGAAATAATAGCTAAATACATCGAATTCAATAGAGTTTATTTATTTCGTTTGTAAAAGTTGAGCAATTCAGGGGGTTCTGCTGGTACAATTTTAACGAATTAACGGGCCAACTACTCGGTTCGTTCGCACGCTACGAGTTCTTTTCTCTTCAGATACAGTGAAACACCCAAAAAGCAAAACAACTTGTATGGATTCTTTCGTCTACTTAACGTTAAATTTGTTTAAATATTAACGATATATCGCAAATTATAAATTATATTATACGAAGTTGTAATAAAAAATATACATATTTATCATGTTGTGTGTTGTATACCATAGGTGTGGACAAAATTGAAACCACTGAGCGTAAAAATGAAAACTCGGCGAGCTTAGAAATTACAGCATCGCAAGATTTAGAAGGCATAGAAGCTGGTAGTACACCTTCGTTGATATGTAAATTAAACGTATTGGGTCAGATATGGTGGACCAGCAATGATAGAAATCTCACCACTATCAAGGATTTCGATTCTGGAGGACGTTTGGATATTAAACAAGCTAGCAGAAACGATACGGGAGATTACAAGTGTAAGGCGTTAACCGCGGAAGGAGAATTACTGGAGAAAAATATTCATATCCGAGTCATTGGTAAATGCGGATCATTGTAACAATTATAAACAATCTTTGATGTTATTCGTTCGTAATTATTTCTATACGTATTCGTAGTTTATACGTTTAACGAGGAGTCGCTTTTGTTTCAGAACCTGGTAGAATAACAGCCGGAGAAAACGTTAGGGCCAAAGTAAGGGAGGCAGCTAACTTGACGTGTCATATGCATGGCTATCCGTTGTCTCAGTTTATTTGGTTAAAAGGAAACGATTCAGAAAGTACCGAACATTTAAAAGAACTTACCAGCGTTACACAGATAAACGAAACTTACACTATATTGACTCTGGAATTTACGAGTTTGACTCGTAAAGATAACGGGACGTATATTTGTAAGGCCCACGATTACAACGGGGAAATTAGTGCTTATAGGCATCTGTTTGTGATCGATGTACCACAAGTCAGCATCGATTTCATGAAAGCTGTCGGTGCTGGAAGTATATTTTTGAACTGGACAGTTAATGACGGAAACGAACCGATCGAAAAGTATTTTATTCAGCATATGAAAAATGGGACCGGTCAGTTTACCTATTACATCGAACAAATCGGCGGCGGTAATTCGAGTTATGTTTTAAAAGGTTTCGAAAGCGGTACGGCATATCAAATTGGAATTATTGCTAGAAACGAAGTGGGTTCGTCGCATGCGTGGTTCGATCCGCATTGGATAACCACTCTTGAGAAAGGTATGAAACAAAATATTCCTTTTATCTTCAATTATCTTACCCTTATCTACCGAATATCTTATCGTTGAAATCTATTGCAGATCCTATATTCGTTCCAAACGTTTCCGTTAACGGTGTTACCGAAAACTCGATTACGATAGGCTGGACAGTGCCACCGCCTGATTTAAAAGAACACGTTCATTATTACAATTTAATGGCTACCCACGGGGAACAGAAACGAGAAGCAGTATATCCAGCGCAACCGCTTACTGTATACGCGTTCGTTGATCTCGATCCTGCGACTACGTACAAGTTCAAAATCGCAGCGTGCAGCGAATACACGAAACAATGTGGAAATTGGAGCATGGAAGTGAATGGCACTACTTTAGACGGGGGTAAATTGTCAAGTATAAACTTAATGGTAGGCGTATTCTAGATCTTCGATACTAATTACTTGATCGTAATTTTAGTGGCCAGTCCTCCTCAGAATTTATCTGTTAACTGCCGATTTGATAACATAAGTAGCTCCAGTTTTATCTCCATCACGTGGGTTCATCCGGAAAGACCGAATGGTGTTATTACTCGTTACAATATACAATTAACCGGCGTTGCTAAATTTAAGAATGATATGGGTCGTCTAGACATCGATAGTTGGGGGCCACAAAATTGGAGCGTTTATAAAAGAAATAGTACACACTTCAATCAAATACCGCCTAATACAAATTACACGGTACATACTTTTACAAGTCTTTCTAAAAACTTTGACGCTCGCCTGGAATTATAAACGATAATGTTTGTTTAAAAGGTCCGCGTACACGGTGTAACTAGATCCCGTACACCAGGAAAGGACGCTGTTGGCAACTGTACCACGCCTGTTACCATTCCGGATAGAGATAGTTTGAATATGCGAACATGGCGAAAAATCGAAAATCAGGGTAAACAGTTATTCAAGCTGTACCTTCCACGTATCACGGAAAGGAATGGGCCGATCTGTTGTTATCGAGTTTATTTGATCAAGCTGCCACCTCAGAAAAGCGTAACCGATTTACCACCACCCGAGGAAATCGGTGTATATACCTATCAATACGCCCACAACTCGGTTTCCGGCGGTGCTTACGTTGCCGAAACATTCGACAGCGACCAATTATTATCCGAAATCTTCCTTGGCGACGGCGAATCATTCAATGGCAACTCTATGTGCGACAAATGTTTTGGACTTCGGCCAAAAGTAGCTCCACCAGTATTACACTTTGTTCCTGAAATTCAAACGACTATGGCAACACTCAATACAACACCTGCAACGACCACAACGTCGGCACCCTCGACTACAACTTCTCTGCCAACGACTACTATTACCACTACTACTACTACTACTACTGCTGCTGCTACTACTACTACCACTACTACTACTACAACTACTACTACTACTACCCAAAAGGTAGAGACAACAGTTCCAAATCTAGTAACCAGCAACCATACGGAGAACGTAGCAAGAAAGAAACGAGACAATATGGCCACGCAAAAGATAAATAGCAACGATGGATCGGGTGAACAACCACCGTACACTCCACAGGATGGCTTCCTAGATGAAAAATCGAATTATACCGGTTTCATCGAAGTTATCGGTAAGCCTAACGTTTATATTATTTTCAATTGTGGTAGATCATGAGCTAAGGTTTTTTTTTATAGTGTTTGGAAATCAGGAGGACCAGCTTTTACCAGCCTACAGCAACTATTTCAATCCTCTTTACGGAGGATCGGATCCTGGTACCCTACCTACATCAGAAGTGACCACTCTCAGCGTGATTCTGCAAATCTCGGTTGCGCTTATACTGATCATCATCATTCTTCTCATCGCGCTTTGCGTATTGCATAGATATACGAAGCGCGCGCAACAAAGAGGCGAAGAAATCATTACTCTAAGAAATAGTTTCAGGTAAAAAGAAAACCGTCAGATAAGTATTATAGCTGTAAATACAATTTCGCAAAGAGATATACTATTGATACTCGAATACCTAATGAATGCCGTTTTCTGGTAGGCATCTCTGCAGAAGTCTTAGAGGAAGACACCAACTCGTAGCCGCAAGCCCACCGGATATGCCGCCTATTCCTAAAAACGAGCTGCTTCAGTCGTACCTCGAACGTCATCGAGATTCCGACTACGGATTCCAACAGGAATTCGAGTCGTTACCCGATAGATTTACGGATCGTACTACGAGAGCTTCGGAAGCACGCGAAAATCTATACAAAAATCGATATCCAGACATAAAGTGTTACGATCAGACCAGAGTACGATTGGCCCAGATGGATGGTATCTGCGGGTCCGATTACATAAACGCTAACTTTGTGCTTGGTTACAAAGAACGCAAAAAATTTATATGCGCCCAAGGTCCAATGGAAAATACCGTTTGCGATTACTGGAGAATGATTTGGGAGCAACATCTCGAGCTTATACTTATGTTGACGAATCTCGAAGAATACTCGAAAACGAAATGCGCGAAATATTGGCCAGACAAAGGGGAAACGAAAAACTTTGGAGACATCACCGTCGAGCACGTTCGAGAAAGAGCTTTCTCAGACTATGTTGTGCGCGAATTAAAAATGACACGACTCGGTGAACGCGATGCTCGTACCATCGTTCAGTATCACTTCCTAGTTTGGAAAGACTTTATGGCCCCTGAACATCCCCATGCGATATTGAGGTTCATAAAGAGAGTGAACGAAGCTTATTCGCTGGAAAAGGGGCCGATATTGGTGCATTGTAGCGCAGGTGTTGGACGCACGGGAACATTGGTCGCGTTAGATTCTTTGTTGCAACAACTCGCGGAAGAAGGCCAGGTTTCGATATTTAACACCGTGTGCGATTTAAGACATCAACGAAACTTCCTAGTGCAATCGCTTAAACAGTATATTTTCATTTATCGGGCACTAATGGAGATGGCGCAATACGGAGACACGGAGATTCCAGCTTCTCAGTTGAAAGCTACTATTGCAAAATTAAGACAGAGGGACAACGGTAAAGAGAAATGTAGAATGGAAGAGGAGTATGATGTAAGTGAAGAATTGTTCTCAAGTGTTTGATTTAGAATGCTTTAATAGTCGCATTATACAATTCGTTTTATACTTGTAGAAAATCAACTCTGTGTTGGAAGACAGAAAATCGTTCTCCGTCGGTGGAGGTGAGGAAAACAAAACCAAGAACAGAAGCGAATTGATAATACCGTACGACAGAAATCGAGTTATTCTTACGCCTGTTCCGGGTAGAGAACATTCAACATACATAAACGCATCGTTTATCGAAGGCTACGATAATTCCGAGTCGTTCGTTATTACTCAAGACCCGCTGGAACCCACTATAGCGGACTTTTGGCGAATGATTTCAGAACAATGCATCTCTACGATAGTAATGCTATCCGATGTAAGTAAATTGTTCTCGCTTTACCTGAAATTATTTTCATTTCATTCGCTTCGATTAGTTGGTTCGTTGCGTAAGTACCGCACATGGCACGCAACTCGCTTATTACACAAATAATTACACTAATAACAGTCGGACGAAAACTATCTATGTGTCTCCGACTTTAGATAATACTGAACCACTAAACATAGTGGCGATTCTTTTATTATCATCGAATAAACTGTTATACGACTTTGGTTACGCTTCTTAAACTATATACAAATTCATTTCAGCTGAACGAAGGTCCTCGAAAATGCCCTCGGTACTGGCCTGACGACGAAACCGTATATGATCACATAAGAGTTAGATACATTCAAAGCGAGAGCTGTCCGTATTACACTCGCCGCGAATTCTGCGTTTCCAATACAAAAACCGACGAAACCGTGGTTGTCACGCAATATCAGTACCATGGATGGCCAACAGTAGAGGGTGAAGTACCCGAAGTGACACGAGGTCTCATCGAACTCGTAAACCAAACGCTTACAAACGCCACGGAATCCAGCGGGTCGTTGGTTGTGCACTGCAGCTATGGGTCCGACAGGAGTTCCATGTTTGTCGCTCTTAGCATATTGGTACAGCAGCTACGAACTGAAAAACGCGTGGATATTTTCACCACGACGAAAAAACTACGTTCTCAAAGACATGGCATGATCAGCGCCTTTGTACGTAACTTGAATTGGATGTTAAATCATTCTGGCGACGCCCGTGACGCTCAAGCTTAACGTTTAAATCATTGTTCCAGGTGCAGTATGAATTTCTTCATCGTGCTATCGTGAACTATTCGGATCTTCATAATCTGGCCGACGACGAGCCAGCATCTTAATACTGTGAGGCGTACGATTGAAAAATCTAAATAATGTTCGGTGAACATGTGCGTAAAGAAACATTTCACGTACGAAAAGTGTTTGAGAAACGTATAAATGCTCAAGAGAACGTATATTGGGCCAACCAAAGAAATCACTAATCATCTATCGGTGAATGATCGTAAAATCCACGAAGTTAGACTGACACGTATGCCTGTGTAAAGAACTATAACCATTTGAGAATCGAACGACTTATGCACGGACTGTTGAATTATGTGAACTGAAGACCTGCACGATACGGAATAAGCAGTAAAAACCACACATTTTCAATTTCGTAGGATTAAACTGAATGCACAATTGGTTCGTTGGTAATTTTGACGATTAACTCGATCGTTGGTTGGTTGATCGTTACAAAGTGCAGCGCAGTGATAACCCTCGTGATACCACGCCCTTGACAACTGTTGTAAAGCTACTCGAATGACTCGTTTTTTATCGATAATATCGAGAACAAACAGAAAAAACACGAAATAGTGTTATCGAAACTTTTTGTGATCGAAATGGAACATTCGGGGAGAGCATAAACATGTCAAAGTAAGTGATTTTTTTAATTAACAAATACGACTATTTGGTGAACTAGTGAAAAATCGAGCATGTTTCTATAAGACATACGAACATTCTGACGAATGGACCATGTAGCTTACCGATCTATTATTTGATCGTCTTTTTATATTGTAATAATCATACAATATCCAAGCTCACTGTGCAAATGCAAATTGCATTGGTATGTCGAAACTATCGTTCATAAAAGCTTTACTTTTATGTTACGTGTATCATCGAGCACGATCAAATATGGACGAACAAGTTGATATGGTTTAAGGCTGAACTAGAACTCTTGTATTCTTCCAAACGTTTCTACCGACATGTGTTGTTATTCTACCATTCGATGTGACAATGAGAGATCAAACGCTATTATGATCCACCTTACATTACGATATACTAACGATAGCGCATGTTCATGTGCGTAAGTTTATTTGTAAGATATGGTGTCATATACATATAAGCGTGTTTCGCACGTCAACGCTAATTTTTCTCCTAAAGAAAGACTGATATTCTTCTTCAGTTTAAAACGCGCGAAAAGATATCTGTACCTTGTTTCTATTACATCTAAACGTCTGCAAGTCCGTAAAACACGGAACAATCATTTTTTACTTTTTCACATGCAAGGAAATACGGGATACCTGTGCGCGTGGCATGCCCGCGAATGTGCTTTATAAGTCTTCGATAAAATATCGCGCATAATTGGAGGGCTTACGCGGCAGAAAGGAAGCCAAGTTTTTATTTGAGAATACCAAGAGACATGGACAGTTCTTATTAGTTAGACCGAATTTATATTACCGAGTTGAATAAAAATCATTTGGCTATTCGAGGTCGTTTCCCATCAAGTGTAACTTTCACTTTTACGTTATTTCAGCTTATGTGCTTACGTACCTTGGACAGTCAATTAATTCTGATTCAACTTGAAGCATCGAGTTACAACAATTTTTGTATAAAAAAAAAAAAAAAAAATGAAAAAAAGTAGTTCGTATAAGTAATTAACGCCTCTCGAACAATTTTCTTTTATGACAGATATTACGACGTATATTACGAGAAACTTGTCTCAGACACGAGAACTGCCTGTAACTTTTAGTATTCTACTTTGTAGTGATTAATGTTGAAATGGAAAAAATGAAAATAAGTTGACGGGATTAATATAAATAAGGAAAGAAAAAAAAAAATGGAACCTTTGGAGTACGGAAAATTGTGGAAATCAGCACATTGTATTCCTTCGCACGCTCGTTCATTTCTAGTCAAGTTTTAATTCCGGCACGCGCGCTGCTAAGCCATTCACATGTGGCAGGGGACAATCACGTTAAATTTTACATCACATCGGTCGTCAAACATTTTTTTCTTTCCTTTTCTCGAAATCAGTTTCATTCCACTCTGTGCCAATGCACGTTCCCAGACTCGATGTATATGTGTGTATAACCAGCTCATTACACGAGAACTAATTAGTTTGCTAGTACGCGTTTCGATTATGTTATAATCGATAGAAGTCTAAGAGACGTGTATTCATCGTCTGTAGTTGTATCATTACTATCGCCTGTCGCTGTTGCTTACGTATTAATGAACAATGTGACAATATTTGTTTTTATGCTCATGACACATTTGATATACATGTATGTATAAGTGTGTCCTGTGAAGGTACGAAGTGCCTATGAATCTCTGCCTGCTTGAGTTCTAGCGTAAAGTTACTGTGTCTACGGAACATTACATCTATAATTAATGTCTTTTTCTTAGTTTCTTTTCTTTTTGTAGGCATATTTTGGATACGACTTTGTAAGTGATTTCATTGGGCATATTACAGTCAAGCAGTAGTAGTGTTCAAAATCAGAGAGATATTTCATACCACTTTTGTTCAGATTTTTATATTTGTACATAAATATTTATACGTGTATATTTCAGTAGAATTTTGTCATTGATACAGTGCCACAGGCATCGTGATATTGTTTTTCTTTTTTATTCGCATTGACTTTATTTACTATGTATTATTATTTCGATCATAATAGAAATTCTTAAACGTATTGTCTAATCGTTGTATCTCAAGAAATCATTTAACGTAAACAATATTTCGTTGTAAGTCGAATTAACGCGCACAATACTCATACAAGAATCTCCTATCTGATTCGATATTATTACCGAGACAGGCATCGTAATGTGTGCCGAAACGACTAAGCCATTTATTTTCATATAAGCAAAATTTACAAGGACAGCGTCTCTCATCTGTAACGAACCTGTTTTAATTTATATTGTTATATTGCTACCAATGAGAAAAAATAAGTGATGTTTAAGTACAGAAAAATAACTGTTATTTATAGAATCAGCAATTTTATTATATAATAAGAACTTAATTCATATTTCGTCGAGCTGAATCGTATTTTTTACATGCATAAAAATAAAATGCATAACAAGAGAATGATAAGTGTAACCGAACGTTGCTGCGGCGTACAATTTTCAAATTGTAATTACAGTTTCGTTACGTAGTTACATAGATTATTCTCGTCGTGCATTCGAACCTTGTGCGCAAAGAAATATCGACGTTTTTACAAGCAGTGTATGAATTAGAATGATTAAAAGTATTGTTGTAAATTGATCTATATAATTTTTTGTTTATTTTCATCGCGACCAGATTCTAATACGACCCAATCGAAAACAATGATTAAAATAGCAAAACAACCGTGTCTCCATTCATTTCAGCTACATTGATATTTCAATTAGAGTAGTAATTTGTTATTTTATAAGATGCACATTGAAAATGTAAACATGCTATTATATCGCGAAGATACCTCGGATACAAGTTAAAGTTAACGACGATTTCGCGTTTGCCATTTTCTTACGAAGAAAGGATATTTCCGACGGCGCACATTACTGTTACGTAGGGCTGTGTTAATGCGTTTTACTTTTATTCGAATAAAGAGAAAATTCGTGGAAATTTAATGAATTAATAGATCCGAAATTAACTTTAACTGATCACGGGGTAAGTGGCTCTATGTAACTGGTTAGGAACATGTAGTGCAAATTATAGCGAAGCGTGCCCTATAAGAACGTGTGCATGGCATCTGTCGTATGACTAAGAAGCTAGTAAAGATAAAGAGGAGACGGCGGTTTTCTCAAATCGATAGTCGTTCAAAGTACTCTTGTGGCCAGAAAAATAAACAACCGATTAACGGAGAATGCGTCATCTTCGCATTAATGATGCCATTCGCGCTAAACGCGTTTTTGTAACCATAGTACTCGAATGAATTAGCGTGGAATTTTGTAAATTCTCCTATTGCCTTGGCAATGAATAATCGTGAATATGATTGTGCTGCATTTGACAAATAATCGTCGAGTATAAAACTGAAATAAACACGTTTACAGAAGAAACTGACTATCAAGTATTTCGACGAAGTGATTCATTTGTTCTCTACTGTAATGGATGCAGACGTCAATGATAGCAGCACAAACTTATTACACCAAGAAAAAGAAAAGAAAGGAAAGACTAGCCAAGCACGATGTTTGTTGCAAGTTGAGATGCTTGCACTAAAAACTTTTTTACAATTTTGATACAAGAAACGAATTTTGAAATGGTATTGAATAAGATTATCGTCACGGGCATTCGATATGCTTACGTTTCGTTTTCGTAGCGCTTTAATCGTTACTTGTATTTTTTTCGTTAAAGGAAATACCTTCGGATCAATGTTTTACGTGTGCAGTTCTCAATCGATGAGCGCAACGCGCGTAAAATATTGTTTTGAAATTAGCTCCGAATGATTTGTTAGATGGAACTGATAACACATGTAGGTTTTCAACTCGAATTCGGTTGAAATAAAAGGATTTTACGGTTCTCTTCTGATTCTGCTGTATTTGCTTAAACGCGTGTACACGTAATGGATGTATTTTCTGTCTAGTGTGTGTAAATTCAGTGGCACCTACTAACGTTCCTGTGATATTCTATGCGACTGATGAGTTTAAGATGTAACGAATCGCAACCCTTACTTTTTTACACCTGGCTATGGAGACCAGTTTTTATACAACCGATCATGTACTTTTATAACGTGTAATTTCGATTCACCGCTGATTTGAATATTTACATTTGATACGGATATACTTGGATTTTTAAAGAGATTTTACAGAGGATTCTCATCGTGTGAACAGTAGATGAAAATAGTCTGGTAAAGGTAAACCACCGTTGCGTCTTTTATGCACATTTATTCTCGCGAACAGTGCTGCGATTAGAAACTAACAAAGTTCGTTAAGTTTTATTACCGATACTTGAACATATATACATATATAAATAACATCGATCGGCACGCGAGGCGTCCGATTTAGCCTAATTTATTTAGATTCGGATATTCGCACGACGTCAAAATATTAGTACTTTATGATTATTGACGATATGTATGTATTACTCTTTCAATGTATATAGCGGCTAGCGTTACGAAACGTTTCATAGCGATTCTTTGTTTTTTAATGATACATATGTACTCGAAGCAAAAAGACACGACGCTTTTTATTAAAACACGCTGTATAGCTTTCATTTCATCAAAAGATACATTTTGTTCCGTACACCCAACAATCATTCTTTGTCGCGAAAAACTGTGGAGCAAACGTTTAAGATTCCTTGGAAGGATATCAAGGAAAAGTATTAACGAAAAGTATTCTTTACGATTAATTAGCTGTCGCAGAGAAATTGCTTACTTCGTTAAAATAGCAATAAAAATATTTTACATAGTCTATAATTAGCGACCTGTATAGACTCGTTAAATTAATGATCAACGAGTAGTTTGCATCGACTTTTATTTGCTCGACGACCAGCTGCGTCGAATAGAAATTCTGAACGTTAATAATCGAATACTGTATCGTATTACCATGTACAAATACGTACGTAGGTTTTATTGTATGTACACTGTATGTAAAGATGTGCTATGAATTTTCGTAGTTTAATTTCTTTCTGATATGGTATATTTACAATTATCGTCGAGATTAATTATTCTTAGCAATCGATAATGTACATTCGGTAAATTGTGTTTCATCGCTTGTACGATTGTAGATCTGAGCTCACTTCCGGTTGCGTTTCGATTTATCAATACTCGGTTTAAACGATAAGATTAAGGAAAAAACGTATTTCGGCCTACTCTCCATGGGAATAGAATTTTTCTACTGTTCGTAGCCATCGTTCAAAAACTTTTCTGAAATCGACGTTAACGATAATAATCCGTAATCGATAACAAATGAGACTGTTAGGGTGCTTTGTACACCGTTATTCCGCGAAACAGATTTTCTGTCGCTCAAGGAACTTGGATGCTAACTTTGTAACGTTTTTCGACGCATATACATACTGTTTCCGGTTTCTGAAACACGCGCAGACATCCAAAGTGAGACTCGGCCACAGGTTAAATCGATTTGCCGGTAATCACGAATTTTCACCCGGATCTCGTGATATCGAAGACACTTAATCTTTCTTAGAAACGCATAAAAAGAAAAATGTAAACGTTCTAAAAATCAGGGCCTATCACCGCCGTCTCCGAAAAATCACTCATTGATCCACGATAACACTGGACTTTTGTAAATTACTTTAAACGTTAAGAGACCGATACAATTAAAAATCAACGCCGCGTGTGTCGTATTACCACATTACGTTCGTATATATATATATATATATATACATATATATATAAAACGAAGGAATTAAGATTAATTACGTATAGCCTTAGATTTTGTATGATATTCATTCTGAAGGAGATGGTTACGCTAAAGATAAAGAAAAATATGTATGAAATACGTGTAACGACAATGATCGTTCGCCGATCTCATCCACGCGATTGACGAACGTTACGGAATGACATGTAGCCGCGCTGATCATCGAATCATCCTTTTTTGTATGAAAAAAAAAAAAAAGATAACAAATTGTAAAGCGATATCGGTAACGGTGCACTCGATGTGAAAGGAAATACACGACACAATAATGAGCCATACACGCGATTTGAGTTCCTTCCTCGCCCCCTCTTTCCCCTGCCATTACATAGTTGTACTCAAACACGAAAGCTTACGGTACACCATGTCGGTCATTCGCGTAACGCAAATCTAAATATTTCAATAAATTTATATTTAACATTTTAGCTTCGGATTACGCAAACGTGTAATGTAAATTATTATATAGGCACGTTATTTAACAACATTCTTCTGCAACCGGTTACGAATGCAAAACTCACACGTGCCATCAACAAAAACCGATAATACCTGAAGATTGAATCGAGCACAGCTAACGAAGCACATACGATAGCGTGCGTAATTTATTTTAAATAACGCTCGTTATTATTTTTAGATCATAGATGGATCTATATCGGTTTTCAAAATAACCGTTTCAATTCAACGATGAAACGTATACACGCGCTTCTCGGTTCGCTTGAAAAATATTAATGAAAATAGTATTACGATCCAGAGAGATAATAGCGGCGTAATCACAGTGGACGAACATTATTAAGGAAAATCGTGGGTTGTCATCTAACGGCTTCTCGCGGATCCATTCAGCGAACCGCGATTCCTTGGTCGTGTGTTGTATCCACTCCGTGAACTTGGAACGATCTGAATAATCACCAATGAACGTGTTACGCGAGTGGCAGTATATTTGACGAGTATATCGTTGCTGGTGATCACCAGTGAGACATTATTGGAGATCAAGATACCCAAATATGTATACGGGTGAGACATTTACCATTTACCAAACTGGTGGTTTCAGCATTAACGACGGAGAAACGGAATGAAACTTATGAAACCATCCGATTTGCCTGTTTGAACAAGAGGGAATCAAGTTTCTGAGGCAGATTTTGATCAAACGGAAGTTAACGGAGACTTCCGTGGTCGATCTAAAAGCAAAAGTATAAAGATTGTTAGCTCATCGGTCTGGTCGCGCATCTCCGCTGGACTGGTTTACTGTACCGTTTTCGTTTTACCTGCGCATCACGTAATAATCGTCTAACTTTTGCGCAAAAAGCAGAACAACCCGACGAGAATACGGGATAAGAAACGGCAGCTTTCTTCTCAGACTGGCGAATCGATGTCTCCAAAGTGTCACGTAGTCGAAAACTTGATAATCCGGTGTCCATCGAACGTGGACACGGTTTCGGGTACATCCGTTATATTCTTCAATTACGAGTCCAGCGTATTATTGCGAACCCTGGCCGAGACGCATAAGTACGTTGATCCACAACGGAACAACGCGCGTAATAGCCATAACAAACAGCTCTGTTGTCGTTGACAAGTTACATTTATGTAGAAACAATAGTTAATATAATTGTACGGGTTGCTGACGTAACTAGGTCATCGATAATTGTTCCGATAGCAAGAGCAATTGCTACTATCGACGGTGTAATTTATCCCGAAGAAGGCTCATTCAAAATTTCAACCGGTAATCAGAAATCCAACGAAAAAATATGAATGTTGAAGATATACGAAAGACGCGGCGAGTTTACTCGTTTCTGAATCTTCTTACACACACGAGCCAGGATTTCTTGAAGAATTGGTGGGGAATAAAATGGCCGAGGATGCTCGTGCAGTTCATCCCTGGTAGTACAATTGCGAATATGGTCTGGTCGGAGTGTTCTGCGTGTACGCGTAACACGTCAAGTTTATAATATTAAAAATTAATGAGGAAGAACGCAACGGATCGTTTGGTGGCTAGTCGCTAGTGGAACATAGCGGTTTACGTCTCGTTGAACGAAAAATCAACATGTAGATCATCCATGATCCTCGATGTGATAACAGTGATAATGTTCGTTACATCCGGTTCTATTCATATTTAAAACTACCCTGTAACGAAAATATGGGAACATTCTTACAAGAAAAAACTCGCTTTATCTCGCGAATTGAGATGCAAATTTATGGGAATTACTGATTGACGCAAAATGAACGCGACTCGAAGAATGAAGTTGATTTGCATTGCTTTGGTATTGTTGAATCCCGTCAACGCGAAAACGCAAACCAGCGGAGAATATCTTCGGAATGTGATGATCGAGCTTCAAGACTTCAACGTTCCTTCGCCTGTAAATATTTACGAAAAGCATGTTTACAATGATAAAAACAAACAGAATTACGCGACTCAAAGGATCAACATGAACGCGCAAGAAAATACCCGACAGCATAGAAATCAGAGCTTCCCGCATTACAATATTTTGCTCAACGATAAAATTCACTTAAATCGCATTGACTCGGCAACTCCATCCCGATATTATCAGGTGAACGAACGTTATTATTCTTTCTGTAATTAAATTGTTATTATATACACGGTTAAAAAGTTTGTAATTGCCTTTGCAGTCTTATAGTCCCAGCATTACTAAAATGCAAGAACCGGAAGCGCTCGGATATACGCGAGCACAACTCGCGGCGATGTATAAAAATGCATTGGAAAAAGGATCAACGATGAGCCTGTCTTCCTTGACCAATGCGTTGTCTGCCGTTGACATTCCTCAAGCCACCGACACTCGCGTAGAGTTGTCAGGCAAGCAGCCTCTTTATCAGTATTATTTCTTCCCATTAAAGACCTTCATGTCAGAATTCAAGAAAGACCACGGTTATAAGACGATCGTAAGTAAGCATAACATGCATCATACCACAGCTCTTAACTAGCATTCGTTCCATAAATATAAATAATTAATCTTTCCTCAGTCTTATGTTTTAACCCCTTGCACTCGTAGCCATCTTATTCCAAAGGGTTAAGTCATATCTAGAATCAAACAGAATTTAATTTATTTAAGAAAACACGACGCTAAATATTATTCTCGTTTCCTCGATGTTACACTCTTGTCGTTCTTTGTAGCCTGCTCCTGCGTTTGACAACACGGAAGCTGCGCAAACTACACAAACCCAATTATCGAATCCCCTCTTTGTAGCCATAAGTACCTTTGTTACAATGGCAATTGTATTCATGATGAGCGTTCTGTTCTTACCGAAATTGTCTCAATTAGATATACTGCATTCGCGAGCAATTCAAGACGATTTCTTTCATTTATCGAACATCGTTACGAACGCTATCGAACGTTATAATCATTTGGAGAACTATAAGGAACACGATCTAGACTATGTCAGATAAAAGTAATGAAAAAAGCTAATTAATTTATTCGTACTTATAATACCCAGGGATAAAGTCTGTAAGGTTGAAGTGAAAAGAAATAGTCTGCCGATATATGTACTTGTAACATGTATTTAATTACATCATTTTTCATTGTTTACTTAAATTTTAACAAAAACAACATTGACCTAAACGAAACAATTTCTATTCGATAACATTATTATATGGTAAACTTTATTCTTAAAAAATGTAATCTTTTACCATTTTTTTTTTTTGTACATAAATATAAAAATCTTAAAATGTTTATAACTAGAAATACGGTCGAAATAATACAAGATTAAACGGTACTATAAACATCTACAAGTATTGTGCATCTTTATAACTCTGTTACTGTAGAAAAAATAGGGATAAGTTATCTAGTTTATCTATTCGGGGAATGTGTACTCGTGTATGACATATTTACGAATTATCTAAATTTGTAATAAAGAAGTTTGGTACTTATTGAACTTGGCTAAATATTATTTCTATGTTTTGTAAAAGTATAGTTATATAAATTTGACGATCTGTACAATACGAAGAATATAAAGGAAGGCACACTTCGGAGTAATACCTGTAAGCTCGGTACTCGTATTACGCGTAATTTGCTTTTTTTTATCAGTCTGTCCAATTGGCAGTGGAAGGGGGTGCCTGTTCCGCTGCTTTTCGTTTCATTACTTGACGCTGATGCTCGTATTCGAAATCCTCTTCGGTTAGATTTAATTTTCGAATCTGTAACATTGCGTCCATTTAATAAAAACCCACGTGTAAAAATATATATATATATATATATGAAAATGAAATATCCTACTTGGTAAACTAAAGCTTCTTCTTCCATAATATGCTGCGGGGGATTCCGTAATACTTGAAGTGTTTCGTAAACTGTTGGACAACGTTTAACGAGAGACGTACGACCTAAGCTACCTTTTAACAATACTAGACCAACTTTGAAAATAACTTTAACTCCTTCGCAAAGAAACATATCCCACACCCGTAGAATACTTTCCCATGGCAGTGTTCGCGTATAAACGCATAAAAACCACTCGGTCATATACAAAATTGGTTCCATTTTTAGTTTTTTCTAGAATAACGAGGGACAATGAAATTAATTTTTTTTATTTTCACTTATATAGGTAACAATTAAATCGTACTAACCACGTGTTTATAAGCGACAGGAGAAACTCTTTTGAGCAGAGCAAATAGAATGTCTCCATCGCGTAATAGCGTTTCCATATCTTGACTATAATACCCGACCAGGTATTTGTCACATATCGCGACGAGGCACCAAAATGCTTGTACCGCTGGCATATGCATCAGCAAAAATGCAGCAATAGGTGCTTGAGCTTGGGAGTAACCTACTTTGCTATTCAAAATGGAATATGCCTTCAATACTTTAAACAATTCTTCCTGTCCAGGAGCTTCTCCGATAAACATCACATGATGCGGAAATTGCCGATGAAGATCCTTTTTAATATCGTCTATATATTTCGGGTCACCGGCTCGTTCTACCAACTCCTCAAATAAATTTGGATTTGTATCCATCAACAGTTGACCCCCGCAGAGGTACAACCACGCGCGAAGTCTGATGGAAGGCGGTATACCTTTTCGACATCGTTCCCGAACTTTGCGATAATTTGTATTCATGAAATATTTCCAATTTTCTAACATCTGTATCCACTTTCTCTCTCTTCGTAACATTACTTCGGGTGGTATTCCTTGTTTTGCAAGACTGTATTTCATATAAATGTCGATATATAAACATATATTGTACATACTGTATTAACTATTAGCTATAATATCATTTGTAACATTACCTATCTGTGCTACAGTTTGAGTCCTGAAGAAAACCATGTCGATCAATTTTTGATCCCTCAAACTTATCGCTCTCAGACTCTGTATCGCCATTATGTGATCTTAAGGACGCCATAGCATTTTTCTAATCATCTGAAGTAAAAATATAAATATGATAAAACAATTTTTATAAAAGAGCAAACAAATTTTTCGACGGAACAACAAAATAAAATGTTCTTATTTATGTTAGTACCGATAGAACATTACTTTTTGTGTCATTGAAAATATAGAAACATCAGACGTAAATAAAAATTCCCGGCTACGTTAACATCAACGATCTCTAAAATTTAAAAGAATATATACATCGAATCTACTGTCACTTGGTGACTATCACAGAGCAATTATTTATTAGCATGCTAGAATTAATAATTAATCGTTCGAATATAAAACGAAAGTTGAGCAATACATTTAACAATTGTAGTTTTCGTCACTTACAACATTAAAACATGATGAATAAGGGAGTCTCTACGCGCCTTACAATTGACAGTTGACAGTTGTTGATAGTAATCGCCAATGAAATCCAAAAAATAACACGATCATAGTTCACGATATCAATGTTTCATACATCGTGTGATAAAGCACCGTTTTGTAACGCCCACAACATTCGTGCAATGAATAACAATCATTTGTACGTGTCAAGGAATAAAGCTCGTTTCAGCATGATGACTAACATAAACTCAGTACTGTGTACATATTCGCACAATTATTTACTTTCACAACATCACGATAATAACGAGTGGGCGCACCATGAGAATCGACTATACCTACCATTGATGCTGCGCACAAATGTTATTTAAGAAACCCGTAGAGGCGTATTGCATATTCCCAGAAATTATAATACTGTAATCGTATCATACTCGATAACTATACTTTCCATATCAGTTAAAATTGATAACTGCGTTACAGCGCATAGCGGACTATTTTTTCTATTTCCAAACATAGATTTCTGATATTCTATTATTAATTGGACAATTCTGTTCGGTCATTTACGATCGTCCAATAGGAACAGAGCTTTATAGGCACTGAATCAACGGCGCCATCGGTGGGAAAACGCCCAAGTTTGTAGTGACAATAGTTCTTACTGTTGTTGCTAAATAACGCCACCGCTATCTTTTCATCAATAATTATTTATTTTTCAATAAACGTCTAATTAATACGATTCTTTGCTTCATAACACTACAGTATATTAGATAATATGTCAAATTTATCAGTTTTGTAATAGTTATTAAATATATAGCAAAAATGATTGTACCTTTAGTTAGTGGCGCTATCTTACAAAAGCTGTTGGAACTATTTTCACTACAAACTTGGGTGTCTCACTGTTAGATGGCGTCACTGTGGATTGAAAAAATGAGTTCTCTGTCCGCCGCTAGATGGCAATAAACGGGCTCATTGTAATACATAGTTCATACATGAGATTAAATTAACAAATCCTTTACATCAAAGATGTATTTTTATAGCAGAATGCAAAATATACGTGTATCTGCAATAAATCAAATGTACAGACAGTTATTGATCAATAGTATAAGGAATTATAATTATTCTTCAAAGCAAAGTGCTATTATGCATAAATTATTAAAGCGAAGTCAACCAAAGAGGTAAGTACTTCCTATGCTACACAAGTTTTGTTTTCTATATAATTTACTAGTTGTTTATGAAAGACCACGTCATAAAATTGTAGGAATGCAATTGATAATATTAGTATTGACAAAACAGTGAAAAGGGGACCATCTATACATACAATTCGAAGAATGAATGTTTTGAATAAAATTTTCATGGAATACGTCACAGATTTCATGTCAACAGGAGAAATAGATCCTGCCCTTGCAAACAAAAGCATTGAACTTACCGATTTAAAAATAACTCAAGATTTTAAACAAATTAATATATCTTTCATAGATATTAGCAATGATAAATCCGATACAGAAGAAGTATTGAGGAGATGCGCACTTCAGTTAAGACACGAATTAACTCAACTTCGCATTATAGGCTTTGTACCTCCTATTCAATTTTTAAAATGTAAGCATTATGATAGAGTTAATGAAGTAGAAGAAAGATTAGCAATAGCAGATTATGGAGAAGATTATATACCTTCTCTATATCCACGTATTCCAAATCATGTTGTAACGTCTAAAAAAACCATTAATAAAGACAATGAAGCAATGGAAAGTCAAGATTTGGATAGTCCAGATGACACTTTCCATATAAGTTTACCATTAATGAGACACGATGTATTTGGTTTGGATCATTACAGAATTATGACAAAGGTATATTGCTTGGTTGAGATTTACCAATTAACCTACTAATAACAATTTAAAGCTACATTTTTTTCTACAGATTAAATCATCATCGAAACAATCGCAGCAATCCATATTAGTACGAACAAAGCGCCAATCAAACGTAACCTCCTCTAGTACGAACATAAATATTCAACCAGATTTTTCGACTGAGACGAACCAGCGAGAACAATTTGCAGAATTTATCAAAACAAGACAGAAAGAGAAAAGAATGAAAGCTAAGAAATTTTCCAATCGAAACATTGACGATCTTAACGAAGATATATACGATGATTTTGATGATTTTAATATTGCTAATGATGACTTGGTTGATACAGATAATTTTGATGACGTAAATGATGAATATAAAAACTAATTTATTATATATATGTATGTATGTAAATAGAATAATTAAATTTATATATCTCATAACCAAGTAACGATGATAAAGTTTATTGTATAATGTTTCTTTATTGTGATTTATATCAAAGGTTTTTTATTTTATACTACAACTATACATAATGTACAATTCAACTTCTCTCCATCGTTATACTTGCAATTTACACGCAATATTCACGTAAAATATTGATCCCAATGATTTCATTTGCTTTTACCTTATTTAGATTTACTTATGATTCGCGAGTATCACAAGTACATGTTTCGAAATATTCATGTAGGTTATAAAATCGAATTCACATGTTACAAATCAAACTCTATAACATAAAAATCTCAACACTTTAATTAATGTTACTGAAATAGTTTAAGAGGTTAAGAACTAATATGGCGTGACATAAGTTGGAAATTAAATTGCATTACAATATTACTTAATATGAAATGATTTGGTATGTTGTAGTGCATACACCTAATCTATGTACATCACACAAAGTACGCTGTTCATTCGATTGCACGACAAGGTCAAAGAATGTAATTTAACTATAAAATTGTGTACTAAACTTCAACTGGATCGTGATTGCGACGTATTTAGTTCTTGTTCTTCCACGGCTTTCGAATCAACTTCTTCATCCGTTACAGTGAGCGAGATTTGTTGTTCGTTTACGGATTTAATATTTGGACGAATATTCGTCGCTGTTAGTTGGGGTATTGAATCACTTAAATTACACGCTTCTAATACGTATTTATTGAAAATGTCACTTTTATCTGCGTAAACATGATGACCTGCTCCTGTTATCGCCTACAAGTAACGAAAACGTATATTATACAATTCAAAATTCATAATATTTTTTTTTTTTTTTTTTTCTACCTGAACGTTAATGTAAGACGATGATCTAGCTTGTTTAAGCGTTTCCCAAGACGAGTTATCTACCCACGATCGACTACCATATAACAAAGTTATCGGAATTTCTGGACTCAATTTGTCTATTCTTCTAACAATAGGATTTTTGGCCCAGCCAAAACCTTGCATCATCGCGTGAAATGCACTTTCACCCCTATTTTTGAAAGACATTATTCGAATTAAATTTCATATTCAAAATAATCTTATATTTTACGAACGTAAAACTTACGACGGAGTTTGAGCATTACACTGATGTATGTACTGCGAAATTACAGTAGTATCATCTAAGATAGGTGAAAATTTCTTTACGATATCTGGCCTAGTTTTCTCAATTAGCCACTGTCCTAGAAAAAAACAAAATTTCAATTACAACTTGAATAGCATACAGCGCGAAACTGTACATTGTAAAAGTTACAAACCAAATGGACCTGCTACCCTAACGGCCCATAATGGATTCAGCGGTTGCACCACGTACGCTATAGCTTTCACCCAAAATGGTATAGGTTGTTTTGAAGCTGGTTCAACTGGTCTTTCAGGAAAACCCCAAGGATCCGCAAGAATAAGATGTTTAATCCTATCAGGATGCTGTATAGAATACGATGCTGCAAGAAAGCCACCCATGGAGTGACCCAACAGCACAAATTTTTCCAGCTGCATTTCCCTTCTCCATTCTTCAATGGATTCAACTAGTTGCTCTTCAGCTTTTTGCGCTTCATTGCTAAAAACTGGACGGCTACTTCTTCCAAAACCTTTGTAGAGAATTTGTAGAAAATTGACAATTAAAAAAGAAGGTAATGGAAGAGAATGATATTCGTTACTAGGAGCACACAAAACATTTTTATACCGAATCAAAGATTTGCAAAGATTTTGAGAACATGCTGAATCGTCTATTTTACAGATTGTAGATGATTCCAAAGTTCAATCTTACTCATCTATGAGTCATTCTTCATAATTGTATACAAGAACCTACCATCAAACAGAGCTGCTCTGTTCTTATAACAAAAATAATGGAAACTAATAACACTAAAATATTAGCAAACTGTGGAAATTATTACATTTTATTTGTTGCATATTATTTTGAGGTAAGTTTATTATTTTTTTTAACATTTACCTAATATGTCAATAGCGTATACTGGTCTTTGAGAAGCTAGCACATCCAAATTTAAACACCACAATGCTACTCCTGCTCCTAAGCCATGTAGCAAGACAATTGGTGTCTTTGGTGATTCCTCGTTCAAAGAAATAGTCCATATTTTATCTGCTGTCCCTACAACTGGTCCTATGTCGACATACCATCCACGATATGTGGTTTTCAAATCTGTAATTTAATAAAAATATAAAATTACTAAAATAGTCGTCTTTGATATATTAAAAATTACATTGTTGGATACAAAGAAAATATCTGAATTAAATTTACAGGAAAGAATTTTCTTCTCCGCGGCACGTAGCATAGTCGAAGATGAAACAGACCAGCTAATCCATTCCCAAATCCAGCTAAAAAAAGAAAAACACAAATTATATTATCAATCAATTGTGTATTATGCAATATTTCCCTTTCTAGATAAAATAGATTAAAATGATCACATTCTATGATTATATTTTTAAACAAACCTTTAATTATGCATTTAAGGAATCACACATTTAGTTAAATAAAAAAGTTTTTTAATTCAAACATCCTTCCTTTGAATCATTGTATTATGTAGCTTGGTAATGTTACAATGTCAGTTTATGCAGGACTTGAAAACATTGCATGATAACGGTGATGAGTAATGAAACATGAAATGCACAATGATGGTTAACAAACAATGATAGCACGACACTTTAATACACGATTTCAAAAAGAAATAAACGTTTAAAGCAAACATGAAACGAACTTATTCTACTAATTTTTTTGGTTAGCGTTCTTCGTGGTAAAACAATTTTAGCACATGACCTTGAAATACGATTAAATGTATGTACATACGTATGTACATATGTATATAGATCATTTCTTACCTTTCTTAATAATTTCCTCTCTTACGTACGCATATAAGTACATGTCAAAATCATCTCGAAACACTTTCGAGCATCATCTGTGATGTGAATCTATTCTTTGTGCAAATTTAAGTTAAATGATTCGAAAACGTCAGAAACAGATCTTAATCTCGGGACAGAAAACCGTTGAATCGAATAACGCAATGTGACGAAAGTCTGTCGGTTGATATCGTATTGCATGAGAACGCAAAAATCAACTAAAAATCGATGAGAAATGCGAATAAGGAGAATACAACTGACAGTTAGCAAGAAAGAAGAGAAAGTTCGTTTAATGCGTACCTTTTCGATTTAACAACTTCATGATCTGCCATTAGCTTCAGGGATACTTATGCGGTTCTTTAGCGATGGTTTCTTTGTTGACAATGTGGAAAAACGGTATGTCGACGTAGTCGGTTCTATTATCTAGTCCAAGTGTCGATTCGAGTGTATACTGACTAAGGAAAAATGGAAGAGAGAGTGGGAGAATCAGCTGATACACAAACGAACTGGAGAACTTGTCTTTTCGAAAACATATATTCTTGTATAATGGAATGCCGTTTTAACAAGCTTCGCTAAGCATAGTTTGTATTTTGCTATATTTATTTCATTCGATTACAGTATGTCACTCCGATAGAAACGTTTGATTTATTAATAGCAACATAACCTAACATTAGCGCGGTAACTGTTATCAACGCCATAATGTATGAGATGTACTGAAATGTACTTTTTCAAAAAGTAGGTAGACAGTATTCATATCGCTATAATGAGTTTCTCTGTTTGCCAGTAAGATACGACAATTTGTAATAATAATCGATGATTATATTTTATCGTGCTATGTTTGTATACTCTTGGCAATTACATTCCCTAAGCAAGAGCACATAATCTTTTTCATATATACGCGACAGATAAACATGAAAGTTACAGGGAGACAAAACCTTATAATAACCTCTAGAGATCTTTAATCCTTTAAATAGAGTAAGGATGAATAATAATCTATCGTTCACTGATATAGGAAAATGATTGAGGTTAAAGGTCTATGGGTATTGATAAGAATATAAACTAATGAACATCGATTGTAGTATTAAAAGTATATGTAAATAATAATTGAAAACGTGATGTAATCCCCATTCTTAATGCGATCATCGAAATATTACACGGTTATGTTATTCGTGAAATTACCATTGCTTTTGTAATTTCACGATGTAAATTTGAATGCATCTAATGCATTCCGTCTATGCAACGTGTAACAGAGACAAAATTTAAGGGTATTACAATGAAGAAAAGAACACCAGACAAGACATTTTATAATGATCAGAGAGCCTCTGTATACAAGCTCTGGGTGCTTTTGGCTCTCCCGACAATATGAGCTATTCATTCCAATCAGCACATCCTCATTGCACTCGTGCATGATTCTCATTACTTGGTCCAATTGTTTCGGGAATTCAAAGTTGCACGATAGCCGTCGTATTGTACTTCCACTCTTGTCTTTGATACACATTTGTAGCGTGCTAAATGTACGAACAAAATTCATGGACAAAATAAAGGATGGTAACAACTGATTCATTCGAAAAAGGAGGGAAAATTGTCCCACCATTTTGTACCGAAACATTTAAAACAATCAACGCTGTATTACAAACACGGAACTATAAGAAGAAAAAATTTACGAAGAAAAAGGGGTAATAATATACGAAAAAGTGTATAATGTAATATTATTCTATAATTCAAACTCTTCCTTCTATACGATCGATAACAAATAAAAGTATTATTTATCGTACGCTCGCTACTCACAATTTTTATCTAGATAAGAATCGTGGTTCGTGAACTGTCGTTAAGCAGAAATCGATTATTTTGTCTGATAACGAAAGCATGTTTGGAACGTTATCATTTATTCGTATTTGTGGTAATTCTTAAATCACTTAATAGGAAAGGAAGCATCGATCAAAAATGAACGTTAACTCGTTTGGTCGTGGGAAGACGAAACATGGAAATGGTGTTGACCTCCCTTCTCAAACGTAAAGTGGGCCTGCACTATTTTTATTTCATAGACAAAATGCATCGGAGGTGCACAGGAGGGTAGTGAAGAGGGTTTACATTTCGAAAGCCGCATACAAGGAAAGGCAGGATGTGAACTGTGCTTGTGTGTATATGTATTACGATATGACGCATAGCATGCGTGGCGTAAGGATACACGTGAAGCTCGGGCGTCGTCTGCTGACACTACTTTCTTGTCTGCCAGTCAGAGAGGAGGATCCTAAACGGAACGAGCAATTTCAGAACCAACATCGCACGTCGCATTTTGCATTGCTATGCATTTCCTTAACGCTGAAAAAATTAAGCCTTTTTGCATTTTTTGCATTGCATTACATTGGATTGCATTGTTCCCATCGTTTGTAACTCTAACCTTGCACAAACTAATTTAATGTGTATTTAACGTTATTCTCTAATGGTTCTACGTTAACGTCATACTGTTTTTATAGTTATTTTGGCAATACAATGAACTTGATACCAAAATCCGATCGATAATACACGAATGCGAGTCGATGCTTGTTTTCAAAGATTATTAGTGCTGGATCGGCCGGAGTATGTGTATCGGTCATTCTTCATTGTTCTTTAACGACGCAATTATCAGCATGTGAAGAAACAAATCGTTTTTCCTCGATGCATCCGAACTAGTGATTCATAATACAAAGGCGTTGTCCTTCGGATTCCATGATCCCCCCCCCCCCTCCCTCCACCTTTGATTTCAATTTTACGCGCATATTCATAATCTTTCGATTACGATTAATAATTATCGATTTCGCATACGAAGACGTATATTAAAAATGATTATTACGAATTCAGGTTACGTTTAACGTTGCTATTGTAGAGAATAAACGTATGTAACGCGTTTCCAAACGAATGTAATTAACCTGTAATTAACCTTAAAGTAACCTGTACATCTTTCAGGTTAGCGATTTTGGTCGCTTTTTTGACATTTATGTATAATTTTATTGATATCAAATATGTTTTGAAAGGAATCGTAGAGATTAGGTTACTCTGTAATTAATAATATTATTAAAATTGTGTAATCGTTGAAAAAAAATGACACTGACTACATGAAGCTTGAATAATCAGGCGTGATATACGATATCCTCCAAGAGTGACCTCGATATTGCGATCAACAAGGAGAAATAAGTTTATTTACCAATGACTATTCATTTTTCTCACCAATTTGGATCGCAATTTATCTTTGTTTATGCTAGAGGGCGGCTTTGCAGTCCAAAATAGTATTCTAACGTTAGATAATGATATAAATTTGTTCCAAGTGAACGTTTAAATTTGATTTCGAAATTTAATTACGTATTTATTACGCGAATTATTCGACAAAGAATTTTCTAGAAATTCGAATCGTTTGCCGTTTAAAAATATAAATGATCCAATATCGTCCAATTGTTTATTAATGATTCGACACGTTGACTCAGCTTGCGAGGAGACTCACTTCTTGCAATTGTTTATCGCGAAGCTGTTCTAAAGATGCATGACTAATATCATGGGGTCGATCGAAAATTAAATTTAAAGAAGAACGATGAATAGAAAAGTCTCGATTTATAGCCTACATCACGCTATCGAAATACGGTTGATAATTGGAATATTCGATCGATGCACAAAATGTTGGAATACGAACTCGAGAGATTTACATTTGTCGAATATTCGATCCACCGAGGTAATCGAATGCAGAAAAATTGAAAACGTACAAGCCTCGGTTTAAAATAGTAGTCGAGGATGCGTAGGTTAATACAGATTTAACAAGAAAGGGAGGGGACTACTTTTTAATCGCGAAGAGCAATGTTCCACGTCTCGCGGCACCTGTCGCACTATGCGCGATGTAGTTTAGCGAGGCGGTGGATGGTGGGGATACAAGGCAGCACTGCCATTGGTCGAGTGAAAGGGGCGCGCGGTTGCTAAGCAACGGCAACACCGCGCGCGTCACCGGCCGGCGTAGCCGGTACGAAGCGTTCCTGGCAGCCTGGCACTGTGGCGGAAAATTGCGCAGAACGAGGTTGTCTCTCGTCGGGTGCGAACGCGTTACGGTTTATAATAGATACGCGGTAGGATAGAAACACCGAGGCTTTTTTTTCTTCGACCCTTTGATTGTTCGATCACGTAGAGGAAATTTATTAGACCGTTGTTTTCCGTGCATTTTCGAAACAAGTAAGAGCGAACAGGAAAAGCCGTAACTCGCGTAGTCGTGGGAACAGAGAGAAAGTAATCGAGAAGAAAAATGGCAGAGGACAAGAACGAGACGAGCCCGAGCGCAGAGGGTGAAAAGTCACCGCAGGAAGCGGCACCGGCTGAGAAGCAAGAAAAAGAAGAACCGACAGAAAGCAAAGAGGAACAGAAGAAAGTTGAGGAGAATGGCGACGGTGAGAAACCCAAGGAGAATGGCGAGGAGAAACCCACGCCAGAGCCGAAGGACATGCGGGCGATAGTACTGAACGGTTTCGGCGGACTGAAAAGTGTCAAGGCTCTCAGGAAGCCTGAGCCCTCCCTCGGCGAGGGAGAAGTCCTTATTCGAGTCAAAGCATGGTAAGTAATTCGCTATCCTTGTTTGTTGTTGGGTCGAATGATCCAGTAGTTTCTCGTTGTTCGAAACGATTTTTACTCTCCCAGCTGTTGAATACAACAAAGGGGAAGTATCAGTATTGATCAAGATTTCACGCCCTCTAGTTTTTTTTTTTTTTTTTTATACTTTTTCATATTTTCATATGACCTGCAGAAATGCAAACGAATAGTAGTTTATTGGAAAACTATCGAATTTTATTATACATTCCGAATAAACTAATATCGAGAAAATACTGCGACATCGTTATCAAGTTTTTCAAAGTGACACCCATTTCGAAATCAATGAATTCTAACCGTCGCGTGAAACAAGTGACAGCCATATTACCGATCTCCTTGTTCTTCCGGTACGTATCGTTGGGCACTTAATAATTATCGAAACGATTAGTGCTGTCTGAAATGTTATTTATCGGTGAAATCAAGTCGGAAAGAAACTTAGTAAATTGAAATTTTAAATATTTCAAGTAAAGATATTTAATATTAATCCTTTTAACCGAGATATTAAAAATTTCCAAACTTTGTACTTGGCATAATTTGCTTCGACATATTTGCCTTGACGTATTTCATCAACTTTGTATGGAATTGCGTATCGTTAAAATTAATAATCGATTCGTAAGGCAAATCGAAACGATTCGAAACTCGCACGCTTGTAGAGGTAGCACGATCTGGTTCGATTATCCGTTATTCGTTACGACGAAGGTGAATCGCCGCGAAGAAAATAAATAGAAAATACAGCGGGGTTCCGACCCGAGCAAACAGACCGTTACAACACCATTGCATCTTTGAAATTTAAGGCGTGGTATCTCTCTTACGAGATCCACGGTAATTAACATTTTATTTTCTACGTTACGGGACGGATGAGTAATTTTATAACGGACACTGGACATGTTTCAATAACAGCATTATATGCTTTTATTTAAATAAATGCATAAAATCCGCGGTCTAGTTATAAGCCTACTCGTCGAATCTCGCCCTTTCACTCCGCTCCGATACAATTCGCGCAATTCTTTCTCGCTTCGATATTTATCATGACACGCGATATGCGCGTTCAATAGGCAATTGCATTGATGGAATACTCATCCATCCGTTTAATGTCTGTACATGCGTTTGCAGGTACGCAAAACAAAGTTTGATAAGCCTAGCGCGAAGTACGCTTATTGTTGAGCGTTCGTGCGTATGTTTTCGACGTCTCGACCGATGCCGACGGTAATATGAGTTTAGATTGCGTCTGTATGTATATGCACGCATGTAAAAGTTAATCGAATAGAATTAAAGTGTTATTATGACCATGGATATACATATATGTATACTGTATGTATATGTATTATATTACGTCGGAAGTTCCTGAGCTTCGGTAAACCACATCTGATGGCTCTACGCGCAACGTCCATTAATTCAGATGTGGGAAAAAGGATTATTAGGTAGACGGGCATGCCATTAATGCATGTACCTTCAATGATATTAGTGATAGCTTTATTTAGTGCATTATATTAATACGCCATGCCGTTCGATAATACGACGTGGTGAATTTTGCTATCTCTGGTTTTCAGATATTTAAATATATAAATTTAACTGTACGAACTTTTAATAGAGAAGAAATTTTGTTTATTGTTATGTACTCTTACCATCAAGCTGAGACTAAGGTTATCTATCGATTCACGGAGATTATTAGTTGTACATTTTTCTACATAGCTAAAACCTAATAGCTTCAGTATTGAAAAATTACTATAAATCCATGGATAAATCAAAGCTCTACAGTCTACAGTATTCGTAGAAGACAGACCTTTTGTCCGATGGTACAGCGAAGGTTAGCATTCTTCGATTTGAATTCGAAAAATTCACAGTTCTAGGTATACGGTTCTTTTTTTTTTTTGTGGAGAGGTCTCGTGCGTCTATCCCAAGAGAACTTTTTTTTCTTTTCTCTCTCTCTCTCTCTCTCTCTCTCTCTCTCTCCTTGTGAAGTGACCGGGCTACGAGTAGATAGAGAGAGAAAACGTGTACCGGGGGAGCATCGAATTCGCCAAAGGCGTGCGGACCTTTTCACGCGTGAGTCACGTTTCATAAAAGCGATTGGGATTGATGAGAAAATAGCCCCCATAGAAAGATATCACGCTGCCAATGCTGGCTCGAATGAATTTGTCTGCACGACTACAGAGGCGTTCGTTACGCTGGCACCCCTGCTTCTATACGCGACGCACCCAAGAGAAGTGCCCTGCACCGACGCAGACATTACCCAGCGGGCACTCTGACCGATTCAATTGTCGTTTGAACATTTTTGCCGACGCGAATTAACAACTTTCTTCCTTTTTTCCCCTGTTTACTCTCGCGTCTTTAACTATTCCCTTTCTGCAGTACAGAGGGGCCCTCGATCTAACGCTTTTTAGTAGTTTGTACAATTTGTACAAGTTTCATTGACTAAATTTTGTAATATTCTAAAATATTCGGAAGAATGATCAATGTTCGCGACGGGTATGTTAGGGTAGGTAATCGTAGGTAATCGAGAATTACAAATAGAGATATACGGATATTTCCTTGAGTCGCGAACATAAAATACGTATATAGAGAAATCTCGTTTGAGCGTATAAATAAAAATAAACGTTGCATAACTCACGACGGTCGCGACGGGGGCTGAAGATTTATTCGAGTTGGAATTGCTGTCGATAACAGACGGGAAAAATTGCGGGAAGAGTAAAAGACGATACCGAGTACACTTCTCGAGCAAAAATACACAATTAGTTAGTGAAACGTAGAAAGTTGTCGGTGTATGGGAGGTTCGAATGTCACGGGGTACGTAAAATTTATTAACAGAATAATGCTGAATATTTTGGTAAAAGTTGTGTTAATTGCGCACTCGTTCCACACGAAGAGGCAATATCCTTTCCCTGTCTCCCGTTTTCGGAGAATCGATAACGTGCCGAAGGAACTTTTATCGTCCGTCGTCTTCCCTTTTTCTTTTCTACTTTCCAAGTATTTCAGTTTTAAGTTTCACCGTCGTAGATCGCCGATATCTCGCGGTAAAAACAGATTTTAGTTATCGTGTGCTTGTGTAGTGTCCGTTAACGTCGGCGAAAGTTCCAGAAACACTATCGGACCTCGCGGTAAACGCAGCGAGCTCATTTTGTTTTGTTTATGTCGCTATAGTTGCTGGTAATAGAAGCGAAACTCTCAAGAAGTGGTAATTAACGATTGAAGGTTTTGGGATATTCTCAACTTGTTGATATTGAAATATGGCAATTGCTGAAAGCGTTACATACATGTATCGATAATACGATGACTCGTGCGTAAGTGTCGCTAGGTTGATAACCAGCCGACGTGTACGGAACAGGAGACGTGAAATTCTTCGATATTCTTCGATCGTCTTTTCTCTTTGCTATGAATTATGAAACGGTCACAACGAGTGGAATACTTTTACTTTGCTGCTTCGATGACTCATCATCGACTCAAGTCATCAAGGGTCGCGTGTCGAAGGGATAGGTCGCGACACGTGTAGAACAGAAATTTACTTCCAAGTTCTTGTTTCCATCCGTGATCCTAGTTTTCGTTGACAAATCATTTCCGACTAATCTTACCTCGTTTACTTGCGTAATGATTCGTGCGTATAAAGAATTAGCGTCGTTTTTACGGTGAACGACGCGAAGGGAATCAGTATAACGCGATAATTCATCCGCGTGCTTTTCTAAGATGCAATTTTCCACGCTGTGGCCACATGGTTCGCGCGCGCTCACGTTCCAGACAGGTTGTGTGTCACAAGTGAAGCGTGTGATTCTTGATATCCCAACGCTGCCGCATCTGTGGGGGATCACAAAGTGGAACAACCGTTTTCCAGACGTGAACTTATGGTACACAAAGTATTTTATTAGATAGAATTTCAAAAAGTTGGATTCTATTTGTTATCTGCAAAAATAAATAATAATGTTAAAATGAGAAGGGGTGTTAGAGGTTTATATTAGATCGAACCGTTAAACTGATTTTCGAGATTATCTAAAAAAGGTTCGAATGTTGCTAAGCGAGATGGTAGCAGATGTCTGGCAGGGAAAGTGTTATTTTTATACTGATATCTATAGGATGCCGTTGTGCGCATCTTGTAGAGAAAAATTGGTAGTAAAATCCCTGATCTGAAATGGGCCTTGCACCGAGCAGAGATTACGGTATATCGGCTGTTGAATGGTATCCGTTCAGTTTCCCATAGCCGCGATATTAAGACCTCGTTAACGCGATAAACCCGTCCAGTCGGATATATGTATAATGCTGCCTTTCATTAAGCACACTGAAAGGTTGCGTGGTAAACTTGAGACACTAATGCCCGAATATCCCGCCGAGCTTCCTACGTGTAATCCAGAATGCATTCCAGTGCACTGTTCTGTGCGAGCCGGTTTATTTTAATAGCAATGTAGTATCTCCATTTTTCTAAATATCGAGATATCAAAGACTTTTTTTCATAAAAATGACATCTTCAACAATTTTCATCTATGCCTGTACATAAAGTAAAGCACGCACGATTAGTATATATATATATATATTTTTTTTTTTTTAAGTATAACACCCTCTTCGTGAATGTAATCTAAGGTGACGGTAGAAGAAATTGCGGAAATACATTTGTAGACTTTGGTATTGGGGAGGTCAAAGGTATATTTGCTCGACTCGTATTCAAATATTAGATCGGTAAATATTGGGTATACGTACATCTGATAATTCTCTCGAAATGCACACACTCGCTTGTAATTCGAAAGTCATCCTATATCATTTTTTTGTTCTCTCTTGTAGAATAATTTTGATAACGTAACCTTTCGTAGCAAATACATTTTCGATGTTAACCACGATTTAACGACCTGAGATATCTAGTTAATATTCGGATGTGAAATATCAGTCCCCCACAAGCGTCGGGATGGAAATCAATTTGAAACTATCGCGTTTGCTAAATCAGTTTAAAATCGCACTTGCTTGTTCCGCGAGCGGATTACAGTAAG